CAAGGTGCTGTGCGGTATGTGGATTAGGTCAAGATACTCCACCTCTCTGGTCTGGTTGATAACATCGTTCCAACACTAACTAACTAACTAACTAACTAACTAGTTAACTAACTAGTTTACTAACTATCTCTCGGAAATAAATAGAAGTAAGATCCCCCCTTTCTTCTCGCTTTCAAACCTGCTATTTCCCCCAAGCCTGGGTGATCATACTCTGACCCACGAAAATAGGGTCTGAACAAATTCGAGTTAGCCAAGCGCCTTATGCGGTGTCAAGTCATGATGAGATGAATGAAACCCAACCCAACGTGTTGCAGGCTGCTCACATAGAACCCAATGCGCCGAGCCCGTTTTTCAAGAACTGGGATGCGGAACTCAGTGACATCATGCTTTCTGCTCACTTTCTACAAGAGTTAGATAAAGGACTTCTGCTACCGAATCTGTTCTGAGAGCTATATAGTTGATAGTCGTCTCGCTTGCAGAATATCAGCGCGTGTATGTATTCTCAAACATTAGGCTATGACATTCTATAACCAGAGAATGTGCGGCAATCGTCAACTAGGACCCATTGAGCCTCATGATCCGAACGGCAAGTGGTACGGAATTGCACATTCAACCTATGCTCTCATGTTAGAAAAATAACAACTATTTGTTAATTTTTGTCAATCAACCCATAAAACACCCAAGAACAACATACAACAGCCGGGATTCGCTGATGGCCACCCACCCCACCAGTAACCGGCGTTTGGCTTAAGTACGGCTGAGCGGACGGGGAAACTATGGAAACCCTGTTCTCTACACCCTGTGGTCGTATGTATGTATGTACTTGATTACTTGAAGCGAGTGAACAGTGGGATAAATTTGATTGATGTAAGAAGAAGCGAGGTCTTCCACGGTGTTTCCTACCTAAGGTGCCCAACAACCACTAACGGAGACCTCATTGACCACTGGGCCCAGCCTGCCGGGGCCAATCGCATACTTGAAAATCCTGCAAATTCTGGAATGCGGTATGATATTCGCTGCGCGGGTCATGATAAAGACGCGGAAGTGCTCGCCGCTCCGAAGCATCGTAGAGACGAATTAATGCTTGAACATCACCTAAACTCGGAGCGCGCTTGATCGGAATTTTCCAATAGCGACCACCCCTTGCTTTGCGTAAAGTAAGCTTGTTGCCATCCACAGGTTGTTTAGCAGCGGCAAAGCTATGGTAAAGCATAATTGAGTTCCAGTCGAGATCGGAGTTTTCTGGGTGAACATTAGGATGAACGAGATGTGTAAGTCCAACAATTGGGAGAAAGTGAGCAACAGTATTCCAACCGTGATCCAAGGCCGCAAGTTGATTAACACATATCCCTTGCTCACCCCAGATTTGCTCGGAGGTCAAGCCCGCCACCATCTGATCATATCCCTCAATATTCATGCAATACAACTTCAATAAAGGATCGTCTGACCAAAAAAAAGGATCTTGATGCTCATGAAACAAGCCAAAGATATGTCCGATTTCATGAGCCATTTTTTCTGGAATAGTATTTGATCCAGCTCTACCACCAAGGGGTTCGCCTTCACTATTAAAAAAAACCATAGGTCCTGGAAGATCATCACTAACAGGCCCAACATATTTGCCGATAGTTGTTGCATACTCGAAAGATCCAGGACCCTTATAGAACATGATTGAATTGCGGCGGTCTCTTAGGCAGTCATCCAACGAGATTTCGAAAAATTGGAACCGTTCTGCAGGTAGTCCAGCTATATGCCATAAGTTAAGGGCATGGCGGAAATGGTCAGCAAATTCCTGCCGTGTAGCTTGACCTTCCCAACAATATTGAACAGCACCGCCAGGCCAAGTTGTGGTGCCCGACCAGTTGAGATCAAACGGAATGCCACGCTTAATGTCAGTTGAGAACTCCCAGAGAGAATGGCCGGCTTCCACAAAGGCGAAGGCGGAAAACAGTAGGATCAGGCCGACAATAGGGGCCGAGTGAAACATGTTGAGTGATGTAGAGAGAAGCAGAGTAGATAGGTTGAAATATAGAGAGGTAGATAGGTAGAGAAGCCCTGAAAGGTAATTATCTATAGCATATTTAAGGTGTGTAGGAATCACTATTAGTCGAGTGTGCAAATAATGGGATGTCCCGTTAAGTTACAGCTATCCGGGGCCCTCTTGCCGTGATCCTGCACTCTCGCGGGCGACCCTAGGTATTTCGGAATTTGCCAGCTCGGAGGAATCAGTTTTTTACGCCTACAGTTGCAAACCCCGATAGAAGCTCTTTAGGCAACGCCATGGCACTATTAGTATACGATCATGGCTACAACATCGGGTAATTCCCGGGACCACTTGCCACTGCCACTCCGGCAGATGAGCACCGCAATCCAAATGTTATGCAGCACGTCAGACGAACTGTCCTGGCAATATTCATGGCCGGCGTTCCTTGCTAGATTATGACTTGGAAATTCCCGCGATCCGGAAACGAGCGGTACGTTTTCGACAGCAATACCTTTGGCTTGAGCCACCCGCACATAAAGTCCCCCGAAGACGAAACAATATGTATTATAATGAATGCCTGATTCTGCCAATCTTGTGAAACTACTAATCATCATGAGCCGGGGTATGAAGCCTGTCCGCAAGGAGATACCCAAGGTTATCTCGCAAGCGCCGCCCGTCCGGGACCCTTGGGTCGAACGGAGGAATGTCCGACTGAAGGGAGACCGTCTTCGTTAAGATAACCACTTTTACGCGTAAGAAGTAAATTCAGGCCTCATCAGCCAGCTCATTCACCAAATAAATAATTGCACCGGAGTAAACCTGTACTAATCACAAAATAAAAAAAGGGAAAAGAACAGAGAAGAAAAGAAACAGGGATGTGGGAAATCAATCGTCAGCGCGGAGAACAGCCGACTGGCCGTTCCTTATGCTTTCCTGGAGCCAACTTGGAAAACCTTTCAGAAGAGAAGTAACAGCATAGCTTCCTGGAAGAAATAATTGTCCACTCTGGCCCCCGAGGATCTGCGAGACGACCGTCTCTGCCACCGTATGGACATCAATAGTCTTGGAGTTCCATCGATCACTTGTGACCAGCCCTTCGATCAGTGGTGTGCGAACCCATGTGGGATGAATTATGCTATGATCCAGTGAGCTTTGTTGAACCCAGAGCGAGAGGCTAATCAGTTATACTTACGAAGTCCTGACTTTCCTAGCTCCATATCTGTGCCGCAGCTCCTGCGTCAGGCCCTCGTGAAAGCTCAACGCCGCGGCCTTCGTACAGGAGTAATCAACATTGGACGCGATGGTCACGAAGCTAGCCAGGCTGGCAACGGTGACTATATGTCCATGATTCCGCTGGATCATATGCGGAAGAAACTCACGCACAGTCCAAAAATGCGCAAGAATATTGACATTAAAAGTTCGCTCGATTTCCTCATCGGTTTCCTCAAGTACATCTTTCGAACTCCCAACACCTGCATTGTTAATCAAAACGGTCGGACTGCCAATATCCTTGCGCAGTTGCTCCGCGGTACGGCGAATTGCCTCGATGGAAGTAATATCGCACTTGTATAAATGAACATGGGCTGGCAGCGCCGTTTTAGGGGACATGATGTCGAGTACGGCGACTGTAATTCCGCGCTCTGCAAGCTTTCGGGCGATCTGTTCACCGATTCCACCGCAGCCGCCGGTAATGAGAACTACTTCGCGGCTCCAGTCCCACATGTCCGAGGTGTAGTTGTTCAGAGTCAACCTGGACCAAGTCTTGCCGCAGATGTATAAGACTCCAGCCGTGCAGATAGCTGGTAGACCCCAGCGACTCCAGGGCTTCGTTGCGCTGAACGTAAGAAAAATCCGTAGCACATTCTGGTCGTGTATTATTGACTTCAGGCGGCCGAATAATTCCAATATATGAGCTTTAAGCGAGGGACCGAGCTGGAACAACGTAGATAACCAAGACTGCATCATGGTGGAAACCTTCTATGATGAAACACGCAGACAGAGAGAAAATATTTGACTGGCTCTGTCAGCAGCTTTGGCGAATGTCTTTTCTTTCTTAAAACAGACAGATCACATTTAGTCTACCATCGGCATAAGCGATTCAGAAATCCGGGAAGGCTTCTGTGCACTTCACCCCGCGAGAAAAGTGTAAAATGGGGCCAGAAAAACAGGCCCTGATCCGGCGCAAGGGGCCGGGGCACCCTGTCCGCACCATCGTTGTACTTGCCTAGTTACCGAGGCCCCAGGGTGGGGCAACGAAATGATCTCACCTTCGATCCGGCGGGGAGTCTCTTTCAGTCAACAGAATATCTCTCTCTTTATCCCGAGTTCAGCCTCGGCGGGTATTTTCCTTGCTTCTTCTACGCAAGTAAATCTGGCCGCAGGCGGGCGGACTGTTGATCCGAGTCCGCTTGTCCCTCTATATAATTCGAGATCGAAGGCCGCGTGCATGTACATGTTGGAATACTTGACTGATTGGGCTATGAATCAAACAGCAACATTATACACGTCATGCCACCAGCACTAGTCAATAAATTATCATGTTGTACAAAGGAGAATAATATTATTACAATAGTAAAAAGCTGACAGACCCAGGTCTTCTAATCCAAACTCCGTGTTCTCCAGCAGGGAGACGTCACCAATAACGCTCAACTCTACTTCATCGGGTAATATGAGGATGGTAACCGGGGGGTATCTGTATCATTGTTTCTCGTAGAAACCACGTTCACCTGGGTGCTGACCAGAATTTCTTCTCGCGTTTGACAAAGCTCCTCCTCCGACTCAGCGTGGGAGCCATGCGTGTTGCTTGGCTTGAATTTCGTTGTGATAGTCCCCTTCCCTGTCCGGCGGCTTCCACGGGCTTGCGACGTGTTGCCCAATTCATAAGGTGCGGATTTGCGATCGCTGGACGCGTACAAGGTGCCCGAGATATGCGTCTTCCAGACAGCCCGCAGGGAGGGCATGTTGGCGGAGATAATAGCCGTAGAAAGCTCGATTGTTGTCACGATGGCGACGGAGCCGTACACGTAGAACGTTCGGGAGCCGCTGGCAAGTTGTACCAGCACGATAAAACGGAGAAGTGAGACGATAACGGTAGTTCCGCCCACGGTGAAGCAAGCAATAAGACCCATGCGGCGCCGCCTGCTCATCTGGAGGCTCCACAGCGGCCAGATCGGAAGAACGTATATCAACATATCCGTAAATACATTCTGGGGAGCGGCGAGAAATTAGATTTTGCGATCGCAAATTGCAATGGTTTGGCCCGTATATTGTCAACTTACCATGCTTGCTGGAAAGTAAAGAGTTACAGGTGTCGGGATGCATTTAGCGTCGGGATAGTCCTCGGGGTGGAAGAAAGCATCAAAGGGTAGACACTGAAGCCCATAGAATAGCAGGACGGCGATTGTCTGCATCGTGGTAAACACTATGACAGCGTATACTGCCTTTTTATATACTGGCGAGATGCTGAGCACGCGCAGATAGAAGGCCAAGAACGACATCTTGATGAGCCATTGACAGAAGATATACACAAATTCGATGACCAGAAGAAGCTTTCGCATTAATTAGTTGCCCGGATTGCGTGAAATTATACAGATTGAGCATACCGTCAAGATCTTCAAGAGGTTCTCTGGGGGAACGAGTTCATCTATTCTATGAGGATCGGAATGATTGTCAGCATGTGTACAACGTTTTGTCGCAAAGTTGCTACACTCACTTTCCTCCCCCATATATAATCATTTGCCCCAGAATTCCTTGGTTGGCGAGCCATGATATCTGACAGCGTTAGTTGACCGCGATAAAACAGAGTATGGAAGACAAACACCCGCTGCGACCATAAACCAGTCATCAATACCAAACGACTTCGAGATAGCAATTCGCGAATAAACTCGAAGAATGCACGTCAGGCTGGTGATTACCACAAAGGGCATCATCACCCCCCACGCGACAGGCTGCAAATTCTCATTGATCCCCATTCCATGAAGGCCTGCAGGCCAGCCAGAAACCCCAATGAACCACCTCGATAAAAGGCAAGCGGGAACAGTGGAAAATTCCAAGATCCCAGTTTGCAGATTCCCATCTTTCCTATATGTGCTCCTTTTGACTTGCTCGCTTGGGGATTTGGTTACGTCGGCGAATGGTGTTGCAAGGAGGAGGTGAAACGAGTTGGAATAGATCATCGGTGGGGACAGGCATTAGCGTTCTGTCAATATTAGGGTCAAGATGGGGTTTGAATCTTCCTCTCGGGATATGCCGCTAGGATGGGCTCCGATTGGCCAAGCTGGATTATCTAGTACAGTCCACTTTGCGCACTACGAGGGATTATTCTGGTCGACATAATCCTTCAACCATACGGATATGTTGCTCACCGTTTAAGGCTCGCGGAGCATTCCTCGTCGCCCCTACCTATCGCGTCTCTAAAGCCCCTTTAGGGCCTTAGGCGAAGGCGATCCTAATGGTCATCATGAAAGCTTTAGCCGGTCTGGACGTAGTCTATTTTCTTCCGCTGTCCTGTTATTCACATGTCCAGCAATGAGACCCATTCAATTTCACTCGGCGGAGCGCAGTCTAGACATTTTTCTGTAGATTTGGACCCGAACTCGTTAGTCATAGTCGCAAATTCTTAATAAAGATTCCACTTTCATGCTCAGCGAAATGGGCTGAACCGAAATATGAGCTTTGAACTGGTTGGGACGCAGGATAATCAATCTATTTATAGAAAACTTCTGCTGTCATAAATCTCAGGCCGTTCAATAGCTGGAAGCACGAAATCGTTCGCACCGTGGGGATGGCATTGTTGTGTCAAATATATTAGGAACCGAGAACGGGCATTTGTGCACCTCGATAGGAGTTGCCGCCGTGCCGGGCGGCTTTGGCGGCAGCAGTAGCACAAGTACCATAATGAGCCAGATTGCATGCTATCGTGGACTGACAGGCGGGGTCACCTACCCTATGTGTTTGATCCCTCGGGGCTCCATTGCACCTTTCCAGCTTCATCTTCAATCGCTTGCTTGTCGCCCACTTAGCTCGATAGCGCCGCGCCGGAGCAGGACCCACGCGGGATAGTCTCGGCTGCCATCTCATTGCGTGCCTGCCTGGCTGTTCAGCAGTGGGACTTCTATCGTTTATGGGTTTCCCCAAGACGACAGGAAGATAAGGGTACCAGATCACAGGGAGAAGATCTTACGGGTCATGACTCGTCAAAGCTCAAGATATCCCTTTCCAGGCCTCTTCACGGCGCTGTGTGTGACGAGGTGAGTGAGACAAGTGGCGACGCGAGATCTGCACCGCAGGATCTCACTCCTGGTCCATGTGGAGCTTAATATGAGATGATAAGACGGGACGGCACATCCACCGAGATCCACCATAGGCAAGGAATCCTGAGAGCAACCAACAATCATTATTCAGTATGGCCCCCAATCCGGCCTTTTTCCAGAAACTGGAAAAGTCAAACGTACCAAAAATTCACTGACGGTATGACTCCGATCATTTTTGTCTTAATATGCCTCTCGCCATGTCTTCGAGCCAGCTTGGCAAGTGCCAAAGAGTCATGCTCATTATTAATTTTGACACAAAGGGAATTGCGCTGTCATTAGGCTGCCTATTGCTCCTGACCATCTTAAGGACGCCCAAGAGCTAATATACGTAAATTACTCCTTATTTATTTGACATTTTCACCTAACTAATGGCCAATGCCCGTCGTATGGAGAATTGTCAGTATTAAGCATTTTTCTACTAGTCCCATGCAGCACGCACAGGATACATGACGTTATTTAATTTATATCTAGCTCGCCAAATTCAGAATAGACCAGACTAAGATAATCTCGCGTAGGCATGTCGCTGTACGGGGTACAGTTGTCTAACAGACAGTGAATACTCGGCAGTCCTGGACTAAATTGTCAACTCCTTCTGTGTGTTTCGCTGCTTGCAAGCTCCACAATCGGAAGAATCCCCGGGTGCTAAAGGAGTCGCGGACACTATTATTAGCCAATTGCGAATCCCGCAGGAGACTGCCGATTATGAGTGGTGCCAACTCTTGGACACTCGCTGTTCCCCTTAACAATTTAGCCTTTTTCTGGCTGTTCAGACGACACTGCAGGGCTAATTGCTACAGGGATGAACTTGGCCCACATCCTGCCAACATTCCACGTCTTCAAGCCGCTTTAGCACGCTAGATCCGGTAAAGCCCAGGGAGAGAGAGGAATAAAGAGTGGCTCGGAATATTGCAGGCATGCAACTTAGGTTTGATGTTTGGGTTTGACATGCGGCATGGGGCACCAACAGGGACGCATCCCATATGGTTCAATGATCATAAATCAAAATACTCAGTACCGATCACGGAGTAACAAAAGCGCCCTTGTGTTGAATCAGGGACACTGTTTAACCACTGCTTTTTGTCTCGCAGTGGGGTTCTCCCCACCACATTCTGGCCCTAATAATTGCCGCCAGTGGAGTTAGTGCAACGGTCGACGCCTCGCCCTGTCTCCCCCACCCGCTAGTTCTGAAGCCATTCGTTAGCTAAATCCTGCAATGTGTTGGTCGATAGTCAGTCCATACTCCATACTCATTGTACTCAGTGTTAAAATGCCCACACTTTCGTCTACGCATTGCTAGCAATCAAACTCAATTCTTCATCCACCCCCTTTTCTCCTGGCCAAACCCGCCTCACCGCAATCATGGCCTCCAACAGTGTCACCGCGCAACAGCTCGCCGATGCGAAAGCCAAGTTCAAGGAAGACGGCTGGGCCGTCGTTCCTGACGTGATCAGCACCGAGAAGGCAAAGGAGGTTGTTGACCGACTATGGGAAGCCAAGAAGGAGAGCGAGCGTCGCGGCGACCCTACATTCCTCGGCTGGCTGGACCCCAACGCCAGCAATGTTCGTGTCTTCTACCTCATGGAGCTGGACCCCGTCTTCCGCGAACTGATCTCGCACCCGACCGCGGTCGAGATGGTGCAGTCGGCGCTGGGCCAGAACTTCCTGGTCTCGAACTTCACGGCGAACATCGCCCTTCCCGGCTCGAAGTCCATGGGCCTGCACTCCGATCTATCCCTGCAGTGCCCCGACCCCTGGCTCTCGACGTGGGGATTGAACGTAATCTGGTGTCTGCACGACACCTACAAGGAGAACGGCGCGACGATGTACATCCCCGGAAGTCATAAGTGGACGGCCAAGTCGCAGGTTCCCTCTGACGAGGAGGCGAAGGAGATGCTGGTGCCGTTCGAGGCTAAGGCCGGGTCAATTATTGTGATGGATGGCCGCCTGTGGCATACGTCAGGCTGCAACACGACGGAGGACAAGGAGCGTGCTCTTCTTTTCGGTGCCTACAACGCTCCGTTCCTTAGAGGACAAGTAAACTGGGGTGTTGGATTGTCGGAGGAGACGAAGAAGACTCTTAGCCCTCAGCTGCGCGAGTGGCTTGGTGTCAACCGTGATGGAAACCTTGGAGTCGTGACGGGTGTTAATGATGTCTTTGCCGAGGGCTCCGCTCCTCCGGCCGCCGCATAATTGTGTGATTTGATGGTTTAAATGAAGTTATTGTGTATATACCACGTTTAAAGTTATGGAATCCAACTACGGGGCTGGTAGTATCTTGTCAACAAATTTTCCGTGCATCTCGTAGACTTACTCGTCGACTATGAATGTCTTTGATAGCGGTAAACTCGAGACATTCATCTCCTGAAGTAGTAGCAAGATGGCATGCCCCACGAATAGTAATAAGACAACCAAACCCCGCTCGCTCAAGGCATGACGTGAGTAATTTAAATTACCGTCGCTCTATTTATTATGGAACTGGGAAATAGATTGCATTACCAGAGTTTAATGTTCCGTTAATTTAATTTATAGTGTAGGCCGCAGTAATATGTATTGTTTTGTGGATCACCTTCTGACAGAAAACGGTTCCTGTCGCAGCTGTACGGAGTATATACGAAGTGCCGCTAGGACTATTTGTCATGATAGAACATGACAATTCGGAAATTGGGATGTCCATAGAAATGGATAATCAAGTTAGAGACGTCTTTCTGGCTACCTAGATGTTGTATATAGCATATGGCCTGGTACCTCAGGGATCCACAGCATGCGCCACCGTCGGACTGAAAAAGAAAAACCAAAAAGAAAACATAGAAATAGATGAGAAAAAACAGTTCCTGACACCGAATACGGATAGGACTCGAATGAAAGCAAGAAATGAGGGCTGAAATTACTGAAACTGTAAAATTTGGAGCTAGAATGAGGAAGTTCTGTTCAAAATATAGTGGTTAGTTGTTGCACTGTTGGTTGCTGGTTGGACGTCGCTTATGTAGGTGTTACAGGGGCTGAGTGCACCGCGATGGTTAGAGACAATGAGATGAATGGATCTATGTCTTGATCAATACTAAATTAATTTATTGATTGATATAGGAAGAATCGACTTCCACGGTGTTGCCTCTCTAACTAAAAGGTGCCTTGGAATTGGTAAGCAAATGGCGAAATGCTTAACTAGCATTATGCCTTAGGTATCAATAAATGCCCATAGTTCACCTTGAGACTCCTGGCAAGAATCTCGAAATCTCCGTACTAAAACATCACGGTATAGACTCTCGATCGACTTTGTCCACAACCGCAAGAGACGTGAAGCTGTCATGAGGAGTCGCAGCCACACCCGCGTGGTCACTTTTCCTGTCAACGCCAATTCGGGGCCAACTATGCCCGTTCTGATCGCCATTGAGCCCGTTGCCTTGACCACCGCTTATGCCGTCTTGTAGAAATGAATCATTTGCTTTCATTGGTATCTCACCCCATATCACTGGCTCTAAGGCTGCAACTATATCCTTCGGAGGCGGATGACAGGCAGCACTGCAGCTACGGACAATCGGCATTCTTGACGGTAATTTCCTGAGTCCGAGAACAATCACAGCGCACAGGATGAGAGAGGCCATTATTATGTCGAAAATAACCACGATAGGATAAACCCCCCAGGTACTTCTGAAATCTTGGAGAGTACCACCTTGGAGCATGGACCCGTGGTGTGAGACCACCTTTCTGCTGGCACACCAGATAATGTGACGACCGTGTTTGCATCCGAGATTCATTTTCTAGAGGGCAATTAGCATTGTTTGTGATAGAAGAGATATTTATTGCCCGATTAAAGGACACCTTTGGTCTGTGAAAGGTTAATATTCTGAATTAGATCACGATAATACCTGTCAGGATCACCTTTAGTTCCTATGACTTTAGCATTTTGAAAAAAGAAAAAAAAGAAAAAAGAAAACGATTTGGTCTTCGTACGAATTGATGATTTGAAAGGAATTTTATAGATACCACGTCTCGCCCTAACAGCTTCTACTATTTATATGGATTTGCAATGATCTCAACCGGGGCTGAACTCGCTGTGACATGGCTAGGCTGAATGTTGCCTGGCCTGATTGCAGAATCTGTCTGGCCAAATGATGCCTTTGCTTCTCTGCTCTTTTAATGCTTGCTTGTCTCACAGATGAAGTCAAGTACCCCAAGTAACCTATCCATTTTCGTATAAAAAGTAAGCAGTCCTGCTGTCGGGTGGACGTGTTATTTGCTGATATTGGTCGTATTTAGGTATGCTGACACAGGCTGCAACATAGTTTTGAGTAGTTTTACAATCTGCGACGTATCTCAAGTTTATAATGAGCGGAGATGTCTTGTTATTAGTTTCATGTAACTCACTCTGTGCAACAGTTTCACAGACACCGATAGAATCAGACGAGACCTTGGCAACGCAAACCAGTTTACGGCTGTATCCCTAGACGTTAATGGAATATAATGAGTGGGGAAAGCAAGTCTGAATAAACATTTAGGCTGTTGCCGTCTGGTTCCGCGAGGCCTCTAAGAGACGATCGTCAAGGGCAACGAACAAGAAAAAAATAATTACTGAATCTATTCAGCATGTAAACCAACAAGATACACATGGAAATGCGACTCCGCTTTTTGTGTTTAAGTATCCAGCTCGTGTGGGGAACAGGAACCAGGCTCTTAGCCTAGACCGGGTTTGAATTAGGGCTAATATCATGACGTGACTTGGCTCGTGGTAAATTGCTACAGTTATTAATGTTAGCTATCCGCTTAGCCTCTTGCCATTGGATAAACACAATCGATTTCACTCTGACAAAGGGACCGTGACAGCAGAAATAGCCGAGGTTACTTGGCGAAGGCGAGTCCTATCTTTCGGAACGAAGGGATTGCCTACGCTCCAATATACTTGATATAGCCTTATTAGCTTATCATAGAAATATTCTCTTCTGAAAACCTTGGCATGACAATGATACGCCAGACGATGTCTTGCGGCGTGTTCCGTAGCATCCGTAGGAATTAGGCAGATAGCCCAGGGGTGTCCATATTATCCGTAGATTTGAATGATCGTGCATGAAGAAGGCGTTATTGTGGCTTGCAGGATGTCTTGCCTGTCCGGATTCCTGGGCATTCGATGGCGGCAGAAACCTTATACATCCTCCCAGCGACATGCATGGTCACCTTCTGCAGGGACACACTTCAGCACTAGTGACTCCACTGAAGACGAGAAATGTGCCAAGGCGTGTTGAAGCTTGAGCTGATGCCTAGATGTTGAAAGACAAAGTCTTGGTTGTTGCTTAGGGATCTGCCGTTGTATTTGGCACATAATGACAGATTGACGATTAATTATGGAGTAGTGGCCAATCATGAGATCAATATTTGCAGATAGCTTATCACTTGTACCTGGAGTCCAAAACTTGCTTCACATATTATCCCATGTCGATGCCTGTGTATTATACTTAGTATGTGATTGGGAATCGTGAACTTCATAAGGGGCCTGTCTGTATTTCTTCGCGTGTGGAGAGATGCTCGCCAAAGAGGGGATAAACGTTAAAATCGGCAAGGATCGGCTGCCAGCTGACCAAGAGTGCTTTTGGCTGCTGCAGGGAAGACCACGTGTAGTATGCCTTCCAGACAATGCGACACAAACCGCCATGTGGTACTTTTAGGAGCTAGAAGTGGGTGCCTTGGTGACACTGATGATCAGGGACCTAATTATCCCGATTGGGTCGTAAATGTCGGTTATAAGAGATGATATACTGTCTGTTTCAGCCGCTATTACTCGATCTGAAGTAGAGAATACCCGTGAAAATAAACTCATTTGGAATATCTAACCTTGGAAAGGTCCAAAATTACTTTGCGTATGATGCGCCAACGGCGGTACGGCTTCGAATGTCCACGGACATCCCCATAGCTCGAGGGCACCCTGTCGTCGGTGTCAAACGAACACATGATAGTATTCCAAGCAGTCATCCCGAACAAGAGGTTTCCATTCCGGTCCTCATGCTCATGCTCGGACCTCAACTACGTAGGCTGGCGCAGGCGTATCCTGAATTTCGGAATGATGGAGAAGGTCCGATGACGTCAGAGATATCGGAGAAAAGGCCTACGGACTGGATGTTGTCCTACTCCTGCTGGTTGTTCTGATTAAGCGAAATCTTCTGATCCCAGTTGCAAGGTTGCACTCCAAGAATCCAACGGACATTAGCGGCTCAAGCGTCGTTTGAGCATGCAATCCACATGCGAAACAAGCCTTGGCGACGTTGTCGGCTGGTCTCGCCTACTTTGGTATTCCGTGTCTTCGAATCCTGCGGCGATCGATTGGTCATTCACATACTTCTGCCTGGCCTCCGCAAGTCGTTAAATTAGCGCTGTAACATCTGCTAGCTCTGGAATTCACTAAGGAGAACGATGGTGTTCATGCTATATCTGCCAACTCATCTGGGTGCTAGCCTCATGAACTAGAATTTGGGGAATGTGACACATCGCCAACTCAAAATTAGACAGTAACTCTACTTCGGATAAATCAGATACAAGTGCGAGTAACGAAAAGTTCAAGCTGGGCTTCATTACTCCGGGAATTCCTTTTTTCCTCGTTTTAAATCTCACTCTCAACCCCGGGGCCCCAGAGCTAAGCAGCGCCTTCTCCGTCATGTATAGCGCCACGCCCGGGGTAGCCCGGAAGCCCTCGCGCCATCAGTAAGATCGGGATATTTTTGACAGTTAGGCCATCCTGCCAAGCGGTGCCAAGAAGGTCGTGAGCCAACCTCGAGCGGGCTCTCAGAGGGCGAGGCGGTGCACAGATTCCCGCCCAGCTTTTGCCCAGAATTCGCCCAGGTTTTAGACCGGGGGGCGCTTCCCTGAGTAAGCAAGCCCTAAGATGCCGCGAATATTATCAATGGACCATTATATGTCAGATCCGCCAAGCCCATTCGGTACCACCGCCAAGTGTTTGGTACGGCATCAGATTGGGTTCGTTGATAATATCCAGGCAGGAATGGCGCCTTTGGCCCAGTTACATCGCCTGCAGCAAGCCACGAGCAAGTCTCCCCCGGTCCCCACCTCCCGCTAAGCATGGTATTGGGGTTTGGGGGTCTCCCCTCGGATCTTGGCCTCCCCTGACCACTGTATGAATCCTGCTGTGCTCGGATTACCCTATTCATCAAGCCGAGGACCTGGAGGAGGCAGAAAAAAATGGCGACGCTATATAACCAGCTGCTTGTCATCATTGCCCCAGATTTGTCCCGCATTTCCCCATTTTTCTCCAGGTTCGAGATTTTGAGCGACGCCGTTTTGCGCCGTGTTCGTTCATCATGTTTGGGATTCCCAAGTTCTTCGGCTGGAGAGGCCGATCACTTAACTTGGCCATTAGTTCCCTGGGTAGTCTTGATTTCCTGTACGTCGCGCCATCCCTACAACGCCTGTAATGTCACCTATCTCCAACGCAACAAACTGACATTTAATCGCAGACTTTTCGGATATGATCAAGGTGTCACCGGTGGTCTGCTTGACCTGCCATCTTTCGTCAAGTACTTCCCTAGTATCGATACCCGAGAGGATGGCATCACCGAGGCCGTAAAGTCGCAGCGCAGTACGACGCAGGGAATCGCAGTCGCATCCTACAATCTAGGATGTTTCCTCGGTGCCATTATAACTATTTTCATCGGTAACCCGCTCGGCAGACGCAGGACTATCTTCCTGGGATGCTGTACTATGGCAACTGGGGCTTTACTGCAGACTACAGCGTATCATTTACCACATCTCGTGGTCGGTCGAATTATCACAGGTATCGGAAACGGCATGAATACGAGTACTGTACCCACCTGGCAGTCCGAGTCCTCCAAGGCTCATGATCGCGGTAAAATGGTCATGATTGAGGGTATGCTCATCACGGCGGGTATTACACTGAGCTACTGGATCAACTACGGTGAGTTTTGCTGGCCCTTGTCAAAGTACGAAGGCAGTTGCTGACTGTCTATGGCACAGGTTTCGCTCATATCGGAGATCACGAGGTTGCCTGGCGTTTCCCTATCGCTTTCCAGATTATCTTTGCGGTCATCATCTTCTGCTCCATTCTCAACCTACCCGAGTCTCCCCGTTGGCTTGTCATGCAAGGACGCAATGACGAGGCCTTGGAGATCTTGGAAGCCTTGAATGAGAAGCCTCGCGATGACCCTTACATTCTGAACGAGCTGCATGCTATTCAGGCCACGGTCAAGGAAATGTCCAAGGGATCATACCGCAGTCTGTTCGACATGAGCGAGTACCGTGAATTCCATCGCGTCGCACTCGCTTATATCAACCAGATGTTCCAGCAGATTTCGGGAATCAACTTAATTACATACTATGTGAGCCATCCTTCTGATATTTGGTTGGTGGACCCCCGTCTAACAGCTTTCAACCCAGGCTCCTCAATTGTACAAGGATATTGGTCTCGGTAAGGGTCAGCAACCGAAACTTCTGGCCGCATGCAACGGTACTGAGTACCTCGCTGCGGCGTTTATTCCAATCTTCATCATCGAGAAGGTCGGGCGTCGCCCGCTAATGCTTTTCGGAGTAAGTCATACCCCTACCTTTTTTATGTATTCAAGCTAACTTTTAAATTAGGCTGCTGGCATGTCCATCTCCATGGCTGTCCTTGCCGGTACCAACTACCGATTGACCCATTTGGGCGACACGCAAGCTGGTATTGGACAAGCTGTGTTCCTTTTCGTCTTCAACACCTTCTTCGCCATTGGATGGCTCGGAATGACCTGGTTGTATCCGGCTGAGATCGTGCCCCTACGTATCCGTGCGCCAACCAACGCGCTGTCCACCAGGTATGCTCCCCGCAAACAAATACACTGACGTCCTTGAGCTAGAACCGAGCTAACATATTCCTAGTGCCAACTGGATCTTCAACTTCATGGTCGTGATGATTACGCCTGTTGCCTTCGACAGTATCGGCTATAAGACCTACATCATCTTCGCTGTCATGTGAGTACCCCAGCCCTATTTACTTTCAACTTCGATCTCCCAACTAACAACCCAATCAACAGCAACGCGTTCATTTTCCCCGTCGTGTACTTCTTCTTCCCCGAAACCCGCTACCGGTCCCTCGAGGAAATGGACGACATTTTCAAGAAATCAAAGAGCATCTTTGACTCTGCGCCCATCTCCATCAAGGAGCCCTTCCGCTACGACAAGCACGGTCAACTCAAACCCGAGTATCTCGAAGAGGCGCTCCGGCGCACCAGTACTTCGGTGCACGTTGCTGGTCAGAAAATGGACAGCGACGAGAGCGTTCCCGAAGTGAACGAAGTGAAGGCTTGAATGTTGAAGACTCGGAGCGGTTCGTGATAAGAGGCGGGAAGACGATGGCGTTGAAGCTTATTTGAATCACATCACATCTATACCCTGCGCGCAACGCATAATTTGCGAGCAAATGTGATGTTAATTTTGTGACAAGGAAAGGGTGTGGTGTGAGGTTCTTTTCGATAATGTGCATAATCTTGTCCTTTCTACTCCTGTTTTGTGCTTAGTGATTCCCGGTAGATCAAGGCTTGATTAATTGAAACTTGGCTTTATTAGAGAATACGTCTTCAATGTCGTTGAATATATCCGCGTTATTGAAAAAGTGAAACATCCAGCCATTTCCATGTCTATGTTTCAAATTAACCAAAGTAAACCAGACTCCGACAGCCTCAATGCACAACATACAGTACAAACAGCTATAATTAATCCACCAGTCATGTGAAAGCCCCTCCAGCAAATCTTACGCCAAGAAGTTCGATTTTGAATCGTCCCATTCTGTGCGATGCGACGCGACGCTTCGAAAGGATTAAATTATCTGGCGCAGCCACGTCGGCACAGGGAGCGCCTCCGATGAAAGCAAAGATTTTGGGGCGTCAGTCCGGTCCCAGCCCTTTTCAAGCCTTATATTTTTTTATTTGTTACAGACGGGAAGCTACAGATGCATGGTGAGATTTCGCTTTTCATTTTGTTTCCCCCTTTTTTTCTAATGATAGCACTCGCTAAGTTTAGAGAAGGAAATGCATAGTGCACGGAAACATGCGACTGGGTCTGTTGAATGTTTCCTCCTTTCTTAGAACTCCAAATTGAGTATCCGTACCTGCTTTAGACATTGGGCCTAGCTTACTGCGTCGAGGTGACTCGGATGATCTTTGAATCTGAGCAGTGTACAAACGGCGCGTAGAAAGATTCCATTGTGCGTGTAATACCGTAGCATAGTAAACCATAATTTTTGCTTTCAGGATCGATTCCCCCGAAGACATAATCCACCGTAAATTCGCGCAATGTTAGACGATCAGTCATGGGATAATAGGCGAGAAAATTTAGTCCCCATCGCCAAGAACCCCAGGAAGTTATGACCATGCTCCGTATTACTGCGAGGCCAAGCCAGAGCGCCCACGGGGAAACCGATCTTTCACTTTAGCCCCAATGACCTAGACCATCCCCGGTCTAAAGCGATAGCAAACCCTAACGACCTCATGACTCATTGAGTCATTCACCCCCCTACTACAGTAGTTAGGAACCGCTGGAAAGTAACATTGAGATGGGAGGCGAAAACGAAAATTTCCAACCGCCTCAATCAAAGACTCACTAATGGGCTATTAATTTGCCAAGGCGCATCTCGTATACGCGGATTGGACTGGAAATTGCCTCGTGGCACCAGGCTGAACTCGCGGCATCTTAGCGTTGCATCGGGGCGGGGGATCCCGAATCTCCCACGCTAGGCCCGGACAGGCAGGCCGACCTACGGATCCTCCTCCTTGGGTTTAGCCCGGGGCAGCCATGGCTGGCGCGATCCGATGGCACTTTAAGCAGGGCGGCGGGGGGCGAGATCGAGGATAGATTAACAGATACATTATTAGGATGTGTTATGAGGCCATCGCTGTGATGTTCCATGCCCACGGCGTTCGTTTTGCTCGTTTGAGACTGTTTTACTGTTGAACTACTTTTCCTGTTATCCCAAAACATATAATCTTTTTAACTTATAGAGAAGATAGTTATATCATTATATGTGCATATGTTTTTTCAAGATGTGATAAAATTCTTGCGAAACAAATGCTCAACAGTCAAACAGGCACAAAAGAAAGCTCAAAACTTATTATTTATGCATCCATATTAAATGTAACATTTCATCAATATGCGAATAGTAGTGAAGATTTATGGAAGAAATAGTTCATTCAATTTTTACCATCGGTCCACCACATGTCTGAAAGCAGATTGTTCTGTATAGTAATAACATCTGCCTGTGTGAACCCGATACTCCGAAGAAATAGTTTCCCACTGCCCTGAACCTGTCTGGAACGCACGAGAAAGGTACTCATAGCCTCAGGGACCGCAGAGAAATGAATATCCAGCGCATCGGAGTGCGCCGATACACCCTGCGACGACAGCAATTCTCTCATCTTCTCTTTTCTACCAGTAACGATATTTGCTATACCTTTCTCTAATTGACGAAAATCCTCAACGATATTGTTATCCAACACCCCCAATACGAGAAGTATCACGGCAATGACGACTCCTATGCGATCCTTTCCCAGCTCACAGTTGATCAATAATGGTTTGTGTGGGTTTTCGAGAATGAAATTGAAGATCACGCGAAGTCCATCTGTTGCTGAATGCAGGATACAAATATATAGGTCCAAGAGAGCATCGACAGGGTTCGTCATAAGCAGATCAAAATATTTTTGCAGGAATCCTTCTTCAAAGGCCTCCACTGCTGGGGCACTGAAGACTGGAATGGGCCCAACCATATATGTTTGATGGGTTGAGTCATCAAAGGTGCTGTGTCGCAAGTCGAAGATTGCTCTAATTCCGCAGCCATCGTACAGCTTCGAGAATTCGGATTCATCAAGGTTTCTTGGGTTGGCAGAACGAAAGATTGTGCCCTGCCGCACAAACTGTGTAGGCGAGACCGAAAATCCTCCTACATCTCAAAAATTCTCCAGGCCCATGATATTATCAAAAGAGCATCTCTTGTCATGATGGCTCGGTAGTAAAGCCATTTGGGACAGGCTAGAAATTTCAGAACAAACATTGGAACATTGGTAAATGCCGGACGTTAGCGGCTTTTTAGGTTGAGCCAGGAAGTTAAATATGATGTATTCTCAGATTCAAAACTGTTTCCTGCTGACCAGAGAAACCTTTATTCCTGCAAGGAGAGTGTTCAAGCCTCCCGCGGAAGGCCTGGTACATATGCAAACCGCTAAGTTCGCGCAGATACATGTGGATCTGTCATTGTGGAATGTTAGAACACCTCCCGATTCATAGCACATTATTTGAAGATTTATTCCATAAAAGCAGCTTTTAATGTAAGTAGTGCACCCATAGATGCCTCAAATACTCAGAATGTAGTAAAAAGTAAGCAATTCATTCATTCTAAGATATCCGTCTTAAGCCTCTTATACCATTCCCCAATAAATCCCGCCAGTGACTAAAGCTTATTTATGCAGTTTGTAGATGTCCTCAACCAAGATACCAAAGATTCCTCTGCGCAACCCTTCGCCCTCATCTAGTTCTTTTATCTTATGGCGCAAACCACCATTGAACAGTTTCTCTGTCTCCACCCGAAACAACTCAACTAGTGGCAACGACTCGAACACATTCTGTACATCCCTTGCGAATTTCACTCCAGGCTTGCCATAATTCTGGCAGATGATATTCCGCTGTTCCTCATTGCAGATGCGCAGTGCCTGGATAACAGCCCAAGAGCATTTATTCTCGTTGATGTCATTGCCGAGCTTCCCCGTGCGTGCGCTATCGCCGAAGATATCGAGGTAATCGTTTTGGACTTGATAAAACTGCCCAAGTGGCACCAAAGTTGCTTCGGTTTGCTTGACATTCAGCGGCGTTGCAATATTAACGTACTGCAGACCCAAGAGAACCGATAGATAGAAGCTGTAATATCCCCCTTTCAGCAGCGTGATGCTCTCATAATGCCCCAGAGTCCACTTCTGAGGATCAGGCTCCCTGGTCACCAGTTCATCATTCTCCTGGCCACTTTCGGTCAACAGGGCAATTTCCTGGAAACTCTCCACCATTTGCAAGTAGGACGGATGATGGGTGAAATGCTTCTTCAGAAGCATAAATAGAGCAGATTTCAGAATGCTTGCATCATTAATCGCGGACAGTCCTACTTCTTCGCGTTTGTACCAGCAAGGCTGACCCCGGCGGGTAGTGGATTCGTCCATGATGTCGTCCAGGATAAGAATGTTCGCCTGAAGCATCTCAACGAGCCAGCCAAGAATGCTCAGCTCCCGAAATTCCTTCTTTGATAGCTCTCTCTTCAGGCAAATGGCTCCCGTTTCGGGAACAGATAACCCGCGATAGAGTTTACCGTTAGGTACAGCTGTAGCCATTGCCTTGAAGGTGGATTTAGTAAATTTTTGAACTCCCCGACGCATGAAGAACATCTATAAGGTTCATACCTTTCTGAGATAGTCTATAACTTGTGTAGGGAGACCAATTCCCTCGAAGTACGTTGTTACATCATCAATCAGCAACGGAAAGATAGAGTTGAACTCCTCACGCCTGATCGAGAACGACAATTTCGCTTGATAGAATTATGATGTGCTTGGCAGAGTGTTCGCTGGTCAAGCTTAGTGATGAGTAGATAGGGAAATCAACCAACTCCGACAAATTGCTCCTGTAAAACCTGGGCGGTGGCGCTTGAGAGTGCGGAGATGTCAAAGTTGAGATAATTCTCGGAGTTCTTCGAGTAGTTCCCCTGCGAAGGAATGTTGGGTCCCAGTGTGATGAGTGGCAAAGCGACGCTGCACACGTAAAACAAGTTCATTACTTGTGTCAGGCGAGCGGATAAAATACCCTTTGGGACCTCCCAAATACGCAGAGTCGCCGGATTGGTGGTCGTCGGGTCGATATTCGTCAGATGGGCTTCCGTCATTGAGGCACCAGAGCGAAACGTCTCACCAGACGCCTTTGCCAGCCCTTTCACAAATTTGTCCCAGATATTGAAGTCCGGAAACATCAGTGGAGATAAGTTAGAGGATCGGTGGAGACGCAAACTCTCCCGAATTTCAGTGACCGCGCAGTTCCGTCGATTATTGCTTACTGATATCGAGCCCGAGCATAAAATACGCACTTGCACATAGACGTGACTGAGGTTACAGTAGGTAATCGTCCCACGATCACGGCCATGAATGCTCTCGGATACAAATTGAATTTAAGGCGTCTATAGTGCATCCACTGACCTGGTAGTGTTCAAAGGAAATGCTAGGACTAACCACATAGTAGAGCTTCTGTTTTTGGGGCCATCATAACGCTGATTGACGATCTCAAAGCATTCAACGTCGATATATGAGGTCTCCAGGTGCAAGGTACTTGTTCCTCCACTTGAGAGCTCGAATATCGGTAATCCAATGAGTGATGAATAAGTGGCATTGGCGGTCGAGGAACTGTACCATCCATCCGGTTACCCCTCGCCATGCTGCTGATAGGATCTAATTGAGGCTATTTTGACATTACCCCACATATCCAAGTTCCCCAGTTTCGTGGCATTCGGAGCTAGAAGTGCGGCTTTATACACCTTATCAACTGCGGGGTTTTCGAGGGAAGAAAGCTTCGGTTGCTCAGAAATCCGGTTCATATCCAAGAACTGAATCGAGGCCGATCCGGTGTGTTCTATCACCTCGGATCTAATGATGTATAGCGCAGCTTGCCCTCCGATTGTATTGTACCATCCTGTCTCGCCTTCAGCTGTTGATTGAATGGATGGTCTACAAGTGCAGTGATATAAATTAGAGAAAGAGCCACAAAAGTTAGATGTATCACATTCAAGGCAGCTCAATATTCAACGGGCATGGTTTTACTTTTTCAAACGCCACCGACTGTAGTGATGGAGTGTCTGGACAAAATGGTCACATGTGGTTGTCGAACATCTCTTTATAATTACGGTCCCTCAGACCAACTTCACGGCCTCATTCCATATGACAGAGCGTATGCCGAGTTAGCCGTGAAATGCATTGACGGGGTTGAGGGTTGCGCAATAACAGCAATATGGACTATTCCCAGAACCAACCCTTCAACACAGGGTCCCTTGTGGGCCTCATGTAGAACGATAACACGGTTATTTAATCGACTTAGACAAAAGGGCAATCCGCTCTCGTTCACCGAAGGGTATTTCCGAAATGAAGACAGTCCTCTAGCTGCAAATATCTACACAAATGCCGACTTTACCCTCCCATTTGATGTTTTCATTCGACGCTTGACCCAAGTCGTCAATACTTACATACTGCTATTGACGGCATCCGGTAATGGCGAGAAGCTGAGCCTCATCAAAGGAACTGGAATCTTCACAGGTCCGACAATGCGCTCCATATATGTAGTTAGTTGGCCATGGTTGATCACGACTTTATTTGCATCCATTGTTGTCATTGCTTCTGCAACTCTATCAGTCGTATTGGGATTTATGATTTTAAACCCAGATATTCTTGGGCTTATCTCTACCATGACTCTCGACCAAAGTTCTTTTAAGGTCCCCTCGTTGGGCAGTACACTGAGCGGAACGGAAAGAACACGCTTACTGAGCGACATGGTCATCCGGTTAGGGGACGTCAGAAGCGAAGATACAGCAGTGGGTCGGTTGGGGATATCTACTACTGATCAGGCAAGTCCGTCTATCAAGGGAATATACTATGAATAGGAGTCTTATGTAGTACGCGCCTTCCCAATTTGACATATTGTGTGGCTTCCTCAGTTGTGACGTTGGTTATGAAGATGTTACAAATACCATTTCCTGGGTGTTCTAACAATTCATTACTTAACTTCCAATATTGTCTTTACAAGCTCATTGAGGGAAAGATATCTGAGACATTGAACGAATCTTTCAATACCACTCATTCATCAGTATCCTAGGACATATTATCCTTATCCAAATGGTCTCTAGACTGCTCGTGGCGATAGGGCTCTAAACGTCGTGGCAGTTGAAAGTCAAATCCTCAGGCTATGGTTGACTTCAATCAGCATCAAGGTAACTCTAGAATAGCCATAATAGATAACTTACAAGATCCCCTCTCTGAACAAAGGGCAGACAGCACTGAACCGTATGTTCGACAACATCACAAATTTCCACATCGAAATCCTCCGTGACGATAGTGCCTAGACGATGATCGCATTTTCAGTGACTGAGATTTCTGAGAACAAGCTGCACTGATGTCAAACTTACCATTACCACAAATGTTGCCCTCATCTCCAGCGTCTACCCCATAATCGGCGAGAATTTCGTTCGGCAGAATTGAGTATGGTGTCACTCCAGCGCAGCATTTCACGGTTCCGGTGCAAGTTGGCAGCTCTTGAGCTACGGCAAGCGAGGCAATAGGAAGAAGAATGGCAAAGAAAGACTTCATTTTGATTGAAATTGCGCAATAATTGATGGTAACGCCTTAGAATTGCGGTGGGATTTAAACTGACTCAAATAGTAATACCGTGTTCAATGTAAGGGGTGTTGTGACTAATGTTGTGAATTGCATATTTCACCGCATTCTTAACCCCCGTGTTTTTAATTCTTTGAGTGACGCTCTGTGGTTCTCATTGGCTATTATAAAGTTCCAACTGTTCGTTTATCTGGGTGATTCAATTCAAATTGGGCTATTATTTTCAAGATCTCATCTGCAAAACAGAGCAATAAAAGCAACAAGCAACGCCTTACTAACTAACCGACCCCTGCGCCGTAAGCATCCGGGTGTCTGTGTCTCCGCATTCTCCAGTCACCCTCCTTGCTTCCGTCGTCTACTCCTTTCTGTAACCTTGCATGCTTGTGTAACGCTTCTCTCGGTAAATACTCCGTGCCATGTTACTGTCTACGTTCGTAAAGAGTCCCGAATGAACAGACCGTGTAGTCATGGACTACGTGTAATAGATGGTGCTTCTACCGCTAGCGACGTCAAAATTAGAGTTCTGGTTGAAATGTGCCTGAGACTTGAGCAATGCCCTTGTGGAACACTCTAACAACAGACTTCTTATCAAGTCATTGTCACGAAGTCGAGCCTGCCAGCTTTTATTGCTTAGTCGTTAGTTAGTTAGTTACGCGCGGTTTCCCGGACCCCGGAGTGACTTGAAGCATGACGAGACTCTTACTCGGTGGCGGTCCTTCGACCTATGGTACACCAGAGATGTCTGAGATAAGCAAGGTTCAACGTATTGAATTCCCCGATAGGTTCCCTTCAAAACGAAAATGAGGGGGAAAGATTAAGGACAGCCTTGTAAGCAAGAATATTCACGCTTGCAGCCTATGCAACTAAAAAGGCCGGCCATTTAATTGACTGTTCCTCTAGCGTTTTTATCAAGCTTCGCACCAAGTTGAATTTCCCCTTCATTTCTTTACCCATTCCCTATAAAATTACTAGCTTCTGTCTGAGCAGTAAAACCATGCCTCGTCTCATAGATAAAGAACCGAATGCCCGCACGAAACCCATGCGGATACTAGGAGTCGGCCTCTGCAGAACAGGCACAAGCTGTACGTGTTTGCTCCTTTCAATAATACTGCAGAAATTAATTTGCATTAATTACACAGCTATGCGCATTGCCCTCAACAAGCTTGGCTACACCCCTTACCATGGATCTGAAAGTTTCAAGAATCCCCCTCGGGACTTCAACCTTTGGATAGAGGCCATGAGATGTAATTTTCTCGACGCTGATAAAACCTCCCGATACGGACGTGAGGAGTTCGATCGCCTGATGGGCTCATATGATGCTTGTCTCGACGTTCCTGCTTGCCTTTTCTGGGATGACTTTCATCGCGCGTATCCCGATGCGAAGGTGATATTGACTACTCGGGATGCAGATTCCTGGTTGGATTCTGTGAACGTGACAATCCTGAAATTCATTCGAATGCGATTCTTTCAGCTTTGGCAATATGTGGATATAACCCGAAGTGGACCGTTGTTTCAGCAGTTGAAGTTGGTATGGGAGGTGCTCTGCGATGGTTCTTATGATCGAGAGAAATGTCGACAGGCGTATCTTGAACACAACCAGCGAATAAGAGATACTATTCCTGCGTCGCAACTATTGGAATTTCGCCTGGGGGTTGATGGATGGGAAGAGCTGTGTCAATTCTTGGATCTCCCAGTTCCACGCGAACCATGGCCAAAGGCGTATCCGAAGGAGGCCTATCAGGAACATATCAGTTTGGCCTTACATCAAGCCATAAGGCAAATACTTCTGTCGCTCGGGTTACTCTCAGTCCTTGTCATTGCTATCCTATTCGCGAAATAAAACAGAAAGATTCAACATTCGATCCTTGATCTCCCATTGCTGTTCTTAAACCTGGTCGTTTTGCCTTGGCTGCGGACTATCGTTTACTTATGTAGTTTATCTTACCTTGATAGACCTGATTTGTACGGACTAAAGCAGCAGTTTCATATGCTTACTCCTTACCTCGAGACGGGGCGTCTTGGGAAAGCCGCTAGACATGCGGCCCTAGTGTTACTATTTCCTTTCAAACCCATCAACTTGGTTTAAAAGTCATTTTATGGCTAAAATACTCCGATTTACAGCTTTGGATTTTCTATCTGAAAACTGAAGTCAACTAGCAAAAGTTCTTTCAGTGCTCGAAATGACGTTTTAAGCCTTCCCTGCTGATCCACAAATATTCATCCATTTCGCCGTTAATTGAGCCACTTTTACGATTCCTTCCTCGATCAACTGAGTATGTGGTATTTTTCCCGTATTTGCATGCAGATGCTCATAGTAGTCATCCAAGACTAACTTATTCACGTTGATCTTGGCGACTCCAGATCTCACGCACTGCTGCATCAATTCCGGCTGGAAGCCATTTGTTCCATGTAATACCAACCGCACTCTCTCAACGGCCAGCTTCTTGATCTCTTGAAACCTATTGTCACATAGTGAGCTGATATTCCAAGAGCGACGGAAAGGGTTCAGCGTGCATACCTCTCAAAATCTAACCTTGGCCCAAAAGGCCCATACTCCCCGTGAACGTTACCAAAAACAGGAGCAAGAGCGTCTACCCCCGTCGCCACAAACTCTTCTACCTCCTCAGCTGTCGTCATGCAGGCCTCTAACCCTGCCGTATCCATGACTCCGTCTTCTCCACCTTCGATGCGTCCTGGTTCTGCCTCTGTGGCGATGTGCTTCTCGTTACAAAGCGCGACTAGCTCGGTCGTTTTTTGCAAGTTCTCATCCTTTTCATAATGCGACATATCAACCATGATGCTGTCGAATGGAAGATCGACCGCCTTTCGTATAATTTCCTCCGACTGGGCGTGGTCCAAGTGAATGGAAATGGGAACGTCAGCGCGCTTAGCTGCCTCAGCGGCGGTGCGCACCAGCAACCCATCCGATACTTCAATCGCCCACGGAAAGAATTGAATAATTAGCGGCGATCGCGCTTGCGAAGCTGCTTTCACGAGTCCGAGGATGTGCTCGATGTTGTAGGCGATTGCAGCGATCACGCCGTATTGTCGCCTCTCTGCATCATGGAGGATGCGAAGGTGCGTGTTTGTGGCCTTCCAGGACATTTTGTGGCTTTCGAAAACAATAGTTTGAATGAGCTGAGCGTGACACCGGTGGAATGTGTTGGGTGATCCGCAATATCTATTTATCATGTTTGGATCAGGACACCGATGCCTCGTCTCGAGGCTCCCGGCGGTAATATTTACCCGATGGGGGTTCCCACGTCATAGGAGCCCACATCTTGCACAGTAACATGAAGAATATCGGGGTGAAATTAAGTCAATGGGAGACATTTCCCTTTGCTCTCCTGTATTCTATTAGGCTTCTACATTGGAATCGAGTAGGAGTATGACCACATTAGATTTCATACAATTTCAAATCCCGTCAGGAAGCCAAAGTATATAGCCATCCAACCGAGCGATTAGTTAGTTACCTTGAGTTAGAACTGTTCAAAACAATCTTGTTTTCGTGGGAAAGCACATAAGATTAGGGCTGTTCACGATACTATATAGTCATGGTGTCCAATATCAGCAATAGTATCGTCAAACCCAAGGATTGACTATCATGATAGTCAAATAGTATCATCAAAAAATTTCAACTGCCGATACTATATAATTAAAGATCTTTGCCAATGTGACGGTCTACAAAGGAGCTTAGTATAAGACAAGTTTGTTTCTGACTCGTAGTCAAAGAATTTTCGCATGGAGAGGAAAGGCTATCTAGGAGGGAGGATCTAGGGCCTCTATATACTGCCCGAGGCTTCGCCTCAGGCAGGAATGCCTACCGGAGGGTCCCTTGATCCTATACTAACTAACCGGAACGTTCCTCCGTACCGGGAAGCTCCCGAGGTGACAGCACACAGAGCCAAGGCGAGGCTGAGTCAGGGATCAGTCATCACCGGCGGAAAAGGCGGAGAAGCGCAGTAGGCAACTTCCTTCTGTCAACAACCGGCAATGAACACGCTGAAACGGTAACAGGGAGGGCGGTCCAAGCCTTAAATCGATTTTTGGATGCCTGGGGATGAATGAGAATGTCAATTCTGACCGGGACTTCCTCCATCGCATCAAAACCCCGCCGCATATTCCGCGTTGAGCAGCAGCGGCGGAAATGACCCCGGACGAGACACCCGCGCGGAAACTGCGCAAGGTGACTCGCGCGTGTGATAGCTGCAAGGCAAAGAAGAAAGCCTGCACGGGCAATATCCCTTGTGGGCCATGCTCCCGGCGACATCTCGAATGTACCTATGATACTGCTTATAATCGTGGTGTCGCTGCAAGTCCTCCCCCTTCTGACTCGAGACCATCGCATTCCACCCAGGAGCATACTATATCTTACAGCAACGACCATGTCTCCTCCACAGCTTCAATCACTCCCAAGGGGACTGCACCGGCTATTTGGGATTGTCCCTCAAGCCCCGTGGCTTCTACGCCCTCCCTGTCGGAACGGGGCGAGGAACCCCCATTCGATGGCCCGGATCGACGAGGGGACGCCCATGTTGCTGGTCAATATTGGGGACCCACTTCAGCGCATTCTTTTCTAGGGAGGGTGGTGCAGGACTTGGATACTAGCAGCTCGAGGTCGATCCCGCCCAATCGTGATCAGACCCAGTCGTCAACCGTGTCCATTTTCTCCTTCGGGGACCGCATCGTCCCTGAAGTCCGGTTGACCGATTTCCGATGGCCCAATCGGGCTACTGCCGATCGCTTGGTTTTTCGATATTTTGAATTCGCAGCTCCCACGTATCGGATACTTCATCAACCCACCATCAAAGATCTAGTTGATCGTCTGTATCGCGACGAGCCGCGAGATCAATTAGGGTCCTCCCTTGGCAGGGACTCACTTGACTCAGCACCCGAGGCCATTTTGCTGATGGTATTCACCACTGCAAACATGTTCCAGGCAGATGAGGATGGTCGAATAAAGGACGCGGACGCACACGGCTGGGAAACGAGCGAGCTCTATTATACCCAAGCAGACCACTTGCTCTCGCGCGAAGCGGGTGAGCCCAGTCTAGCCTCCGTGCAGGCTCGTTTCCTGATGGTTTTATACCTCTTATGCACGTCAAGAGCACGCAAAGCGTGGTTTACTTTCGGAACAACAGTCCAGCTGATGATGGCGCTTGGTATGCACACCAAACGATCGCGGAGGCTGGCTGAGAAAGAGAATCAAGTGCACAAGGAATGTCGATGCAGGGTCGTCTGGTGCTCTTATACACTCGATAAGTATTTGAGTGTTATCTTGGGCCGCCCTCGCCTCTGGCAAGACGAGGATATAGATGAAGACTTACCGACACGGATCAACGATCATGATCTTATGAGCCACGAATCACGAACATCTAAGCGGGATTGCTTGATGGATGCTCCAATATTTCATACTTTGCTTGCCCGGATTCTTACTCAAGCGGCCAAGGAACCATATGTAGTGACAGGAATCACCAGCAGGGAGCAGATAAACACGATTCGAATCTTGTGCGGACAAGTTGTTGACTGGCAGAGCAATTTGCCCCCCTTTTTATCGGGCGCTATTCAACCGAGTACGCTGATCCCGGTGTTCCGACGGCAATTGACGGTCTTGCAATTGGCCCGTTATCATGCGCTGATGTTTATCACACGGCCTCTACTTCTAAGAAACTACGGAGGCATGTGGCCCGACTGCGAGCCCAGCTATCAGCATTACTTGAATGTTTGTCTGGCAGCCGCACGGGATGCCATTGAAATGATCCTATCCTTTGTCTGCGAAAACCAGTTCTTTCCCGCGTTCTGGTATTCTCAGTACATCGCGTTTAATGCTTTATCGATCATGTACCTTTATCTCATCCAAGTCCAAAGGGGTAGCATACCTCCGGCCACCCACCGTATTGTTTCAACTCCGGGTAGCACATATGATTGCGCCCTAGAGGAACCTGCCTTATATCGGCTTTCGGAAACAGCACAGGAACATCTTGCTCATGCGACGGCTCGGAATGCACCTTCTTGGAAATACAGTGCAATCCTGCAAGGCCTTCGGCGGGAACTTGCCCGACTGGGACCTTCTATTCTTGATCTGAATCGCTCTCACCCAGATGAGACGGAGAGTCAGGCTGGGATTAACAATCACCAGACAGATGCTTTGAATTTTCATCAAAACCACCTAGGTCACCAGCAGAGTAGACTAGATGCCGTCACTATTGAAAACCTCACAGGATCCCATGCGACTGCAAATATGCTGCCTCGACAAAATCCACTAGTTGAGCCATTCACACTTGATCCTGGCACTGAGTCTCTCTTCGATAATTTCGCGATTGGGGAAGATTTGAATCTTGACTTCTGGCCCCAGCTAGATAGCCTACCAAGTAGTAAGTTTATTAAATTGCATTTATGTGATATTGCTGACTGTTATAGATGTTCTAGGCTACTAGAATAGATGTGCAATGCGCCAAGCTCAGCAATTCTCTTTCGATTTTGCGTGACACTAGATACCCATACAACTCTATGAGAGACGGCCCGAAAAACCAAGTTAAATCATTCATAACAACATCATTATCATAATTCGATCACCAAACGTACTTGTAGCGTGATTGACCGTCCTGTTCCTCTGCCTTTCGTGCTCTGACGTTCAAGAAATACAAATAGGCAGCGAGCAACAAGGACATCACGATTCCGCCAGCCGCAAAGGAAGACAAGATGATTCCTCCGGGTCTATATTGCGGTGAATCCGATGTGGGAAAGAAGTATGAGCCGTAGATATTGGACGAGTTGCCAAACAAGTTGACCAGAGCGTACACAATTGCTCGTTTGGTTCTTGTGCGAGGAATAGTGCTGGCAATCCACGCTTGGACGACGTTAAAAGCTGAATAAGACCCGGCGCACATGAGGAACATTCCCACATAGCGGACGGCTGTTGCTTGCGACGAAATGACCATGATGTTACCCACTATATCGACACAGAGCGGCCAGACAATAAGAATTGCGCGTTGGTTGGTGCGGTTCGCGATCAGGGAGTTTCCGAGCGCGGTGATGAAGCCAAAGACGTATACTGGTGCTGTGATCAAGAGAGTGATCATGTTGTTGAAGCCCAGGGTTTTAACGATTGTCTGTTGTAAATTAGCACCTATGGTTATCAAGTGTCGAGGATACAGTGACTCACGGGAAAGAAGTATGTCCATGTCTGCGAAGACAATTGGCAGACTTGGATGAGAATGAGAAGCCAAGCCTTGGGGTCCATCACTGCGTCTCTCAGGCCCTCTTTGACGGAGCCATTTTCATCGACCTCGTCGTTTGCCTCGCGAGCAAGACGCCATTCTGCGAACCGTTGCTCCTGCTCGTTCAACCATTTTCGCTGCCCAGATCGAGGAAAGTCAGGGAGCAGAGCTACTGCGAGTACTCCGGCCACCATAGTGCCTGCCCCTTCAATAATGAATAGCCATCTGTGCATTCATTAGCAGTGTTCTAGTCTGACCGACACAGTGAACATACCTCCAGCCCGCAAGGTTTCCCTTGCCATCCAGCCCACTCATTATACCAGCGGCAAGCATACCACCGAATCCATTGGCAATTGTGTTACCACAGTAAACGATTGCCACACGTACGGCGATTTCCGAAGGCTTATACCAGGAACTGATCAATAGTCTGCAGAAATGTGTTAGACGGATTACCTGACAAGATCGGGCTGCCGGTCACTTACAAAGCTCCAGGGAAAAACGGAGATTCCGCAAATCCCAAAAAGACACGCACACACATGACGCCAGCAAAGTTCTTTGTCGCTGCCATGCACAACGAGATGCCTCCCCAAATGAAGATAGCCGTTGGCAGGTAGCGCGATGGCTTCAACCGAGTCAAGAGAATGTTACTCGGTACCTGACCTAGAAGATAACCGACGAACTGTGACCAATCTGTCAGCTTCATTCTTCCACTTCCATGGTTAGAAGCATACCATAATAGCCACGGCTGTTTGATATTGTGTGTCTGAGAGGCCCAAGTCCTCCTGCATTCCTCCAAGACGAGCATTGGCAATGTTGGAGCGATCTAGGATGTTGAATATGAAGAGAAGGAAGAGAGATGATATCAGGTGTAAGTCGATCTTGCGCACCACTGTGAACAGTTAGTATCTGAGTGGCTTCTTCCGGATGGGCATCTTACGGCGCTTCTCCAAAGCTTTGGTTTCTTTATCAGACAAGCCGTCGAACAGTATGTCCTGTCCATCTATTTGTTTGGCGCTTGCTTCAACATGGTGTGAGGTGGATTTCAAGTCAAGGTCTGCCATAGTGCTGGCATCCAAGTAAAGGTCGCTTATTTTCGTTTGAATTGGTTCTGGGATTGACTCAATTTCAGCCAGGGATAATTAAAACAGAAAGAGAAAAAGGCAGCCTTTCACACGCAGCGAACAAAGATGACAAGCCAGAAAGAGGAGTAAAAAAAACAAGAGCCTCTTCCAGCAGAGGACATGGATTCCTTTCGGGACTTTCTGCTTGCAAGCTGGCGGAGGGCCTAATATACCTTTTCTAGGTTTCTCCGGACTCCCCAAGGTGTCACGTCTGTTTTCCACGCCAACATGGCCGGGGTAGACTGCGGAGAAGGATCAGTCTCCACACGGTCTCCGCTATGTCTGTTAGTTTGCCGTGGTTGGATGTGTTGATCACTGTGATCTTATCATCGTTGTGACTACTACCTGCAAGCAGATGAATGAATTTGGTTCAATATTTTTGAGCAGATACACAGTATTTTGTTTCATTTACGGTGCTTTGCCATTCTTGAGGCTGTGAAGTGAACAGAGATCCCCCAAGCTTTTCTCAAGCATTTGCCAAGATGATCAGCTGTTCACCAGCAGTGGCATTTGTTAATGACAAGAAATAGGGTTCTCTAGAATCCTAGAACTGGATGTGCCAATCTACATGTGCCGTTTCTCCGTCATAAATCGGATCAAAATCCGGCCGTTACCAGGTTTTCCTATCGCACGACGAAACTAGTGCAGCGGTGTCTTACATGACGCATTGGACTTTCCTTACTCCAGAGTCTCATATCCGAGGTCAACATTGATTCTGCGGGGAAACTGGGCAGATGGCCGACTGAATGGACGTGACAGCGAAAATAACCCGCAAGAACGCGGAGTTTCTCCCCAGATACCCACCTTTGCCTGCAGATCAGAATCCTTTGCTCTTTAGCGTGAGAATGTCGGCGGATTAGCTGGTTTATTCTTATCCGCTCGCCCTCACTAGCAAGACGGGATGTCGGAAATCTGAGTACCTCCACCACTTTTCCGCCATCACGTCGACATGTCGGAGATGCGATGCGACGACACTATGTTTTAAGAAACCAGGCAATCGCCGATGGGGTTAGCTCTCAATCACCTTCGATAACTGTTTTCAACATCATGTCTCTTCCAACACATTTCACACTCAACACTGGTGCCAAGATTCCCGCCGTGGGATTTGGAACATGGCAGGCCAAACCTCTCGAGGTTGAAAACGCCGTTGAGGTGGCTTTGAAGCAAGGCTATCGTCATATCGACTGCGCAGCCATTTACCGCAACGAAACTGAAGTTGGTAATGGCATTCGCAAGTCCGGTGTCGCGCGTGAGGAGATCTTTATCACCGGCAAGCTGTGGAACACAAAACACGCCCCGGAGGACGTTGAATCGGCGTTGGACAAGACGTTGAAGGATTTGGGTGTGGACTATGTTGATCTCTACTTGATGCATTGGCCTTGGTATGGATGTCTTGTTCGGTCTATACTCATCATGCATCGCCACGAACTAACGTTGAATAACCAGTGCCTTTAAAGGCGGCGACAAATGGTTCCCCCTCAACTCCGACGGAGTTTTCGAACTCGCCGACGTCGACTACATCACCACCTACAAAGCTATGGAAAAGCTACTGTCCACGGGTAAGGTGCGCGCCATCGGTGTGTCCAACTTCAACGTCAGCCGACTCGAAGAACTTCTCAGCCAAGTCAGCGTCGTCCCCGCCGCGAACCAAATCGAAGCCCACCCTTACCTACAACAACCCGATCTGCTGCGCTTCTGTCAAAGTAAAGGAATCATCGTGGAGGCCTACTCCCCTCTCGGAAACAACCAGAATGGCGAGCCACGCACCGTTGATGATCACCTGGTGCACTCCGTCGCGGGCGAGCTGGGCCTTGATCCGGGTCCTCTCCTTGCCAGCTGGGGTGTGCAGCGCGGCACAGTCGTCCTGTCGAAGAGCGTGACGCCCTCGCGAATTGCTGCGAACTTGCAGGTTCGCCAACTGCCGGAGGATGCGTTCGCTAAGCTCTCGTCGTTGGAAAAGCACAAGAGATTTAACTTCCCTGCGTTCTGGGGATATGATATTTTCGAGGAAGTTGGGGAGGAGGAAGTCCGGAAGGCTGCGGCTGCAGCTGGTGAGGTCAACAAGACCAAGTTCACGGTCTAGAAAAAGGGTATAGATTCTTCCTGTATATATTTGGTGGCTTTTATGAATAGATCGATTGTTTTTACTGCATGTTGTAGCAGCTGGGCATCGCCGCTTTCTAAACGGCAGTCGTCATCGGTATTCACGATGGCACTTCTTGATTTTTCCAGTGCGCTCTCATTTTTGGACGACTTGTCGGCTCGATTACCAACCCGACAGAGGTAATCATTTCGGAACTCAAGAATCTTAACTTCTCGAAATCTCCTGCTTCGGGATCCCTGCGGGGATCGTCTGCAATGATCCACTTGGGCGTGCGGAGTCTAAACTGCTTTGGGACTTTACATGCAGCCAGCCACCCGGTTGGGATCAATTGCCGGTTCTCCTTGCGAGACTCATCTTATTCAATAAGTGGCATGAAGGGGAAAAAAGTAAGGATTGTTACCCTTTAAAGCTCGCATTATTGAGCATATAGTAACAAGCCAATTTTTGTTTCCTAGAACTGTTTTATCGAGCTTCATATAGTAGAATCATTGGCTACAATATCCAACTTTTCCCCGGAAGTATTCTTCAGATCTTTTACTATTTCGAACCTCGGCAAACATTTTGAATAGCTTAGTTCCCAATTCTCAAAGAAATGTGCTTATCAAGCATCACCAATCACCACGAAACACGCGGGTTGAAATTTGTGCCAAATTGACTCGGTCCTAAGTGGGTCATCTTCAACATCCTGCAGACTTTGGTTGGTCCCGACAGTCATCCTTCATGACGTAGAGACTCTAGTGGGGGTAGTGTTCACTAATCGCTTTCCTGTCTTAAAGCCATTGAAGTTCTCAATTGCATTTGTAATCTCAATTGTTTTTGCTTCGGTGCTGTTCAGTTGAATTCTAGCATCTTTCGACCTTATAATATAAGCGCTTCGCTGGAAGTCGAGGCAGAGATCCTTCTCTATATCCCCACCCTGTATAATTAATTATCCAACTAATTCATTCTACAACCACCACCATGTCTACCCAAAAGGCTGTCGTCATCACCACCCCCAAGCACGCTGACCTCGTCACCGACCGTGCCATCCCCGTCCTCCGCGATGACTACATCCTCGTCAAGACCGTCGCCGTGGCCCTGAACCCCACGGACTGGAAGCACGTCGCTTTCCTCGCCCCTCCCGGCCCCGTCGTCGGCTGCGACTACGCCGGTGTCGTCGAGGCCGTCGGCAAGGACGTCACCAAGCCTTTCAAGAAGGGTGACCGCGTGTGCGGTTTCGTCCACGGCTCCAACGCCGTCTACCACGAGGACGGCACCTTCGCCGAATACATCACCGCCAAGGGCGACCTGCAGATGAAGATCCCGGAGAACCTGAGCTTCGAGGAGGCCTCTACCCTCGGCGTCGGAATCAGCACCGTCGGCCAGGGTCTCTACCAGAGCTTGAAGCTCGCGTGGCCCACGCAGCCCACGACCGAGAACATCCCCGTGCTTATCTACGGCGGCTCAAGCGCCACCGGTACCCTTGCTATCCAGTTCGCTAAGCTCTCCGGCTACACCGTCCTGACGACTTGCTCGCCACGCAACTTCGACCTGGTGAAGAGTCTCGGCGCGGATGCTGTCTTCGACTACAACGACCCCAACGCGGCCGCTGAGATCCGCAAGGTCACGAACAACAACCTCAAATACGTCTTCGATACCATCTCCGTCGAGTCCAGCGCTAAGTTCTGCGACGAGGCCCTCTCCACCGAGGGAGGCGAGTACTCGGCCCTTCTGGTCGTGAAGATCGAGCGTGAGAACGTCAACGACCGCTGGACGCTAGGTTACACTATCCTCGGCCAGGACTTCATGTTCGGTGATATTCCGTTCGCCGCGAAGCCGGAGAACATGGAGTTCGCGAAGAAGTTCTGGGCTACGGCTGAGCAGCTGTTGGCGCAGGGCAAGGTCAAGCCGCACCCTCTTAAGGTGAACCCTGGTGGTTTGCGCGGTGTGTTGGATGGCATGAAGGCGATGCAGGAGGGTAAGGTCAGCGGGGAGAAGTTGGTGTATCGCGTTGCGGAGACTGCTTGAAGCCTTGATTGTTAGGGCTGCTTCTTTCAATTCTTTATGATTTTGATGTATGTTTGGGAATGGCTATTGTCCCTGGAATATGTATAATCTTTAACAAAATTGTACGAGTTTGATCAGGCATTGAGGTTATGCGAAAACTCCGTTTATATCCACAGATAGTATTCAATAATTCAGAATAGAGATATTCATCTTCTGCTTCCGATAGATCTACGACATGAAATGATTTACCTGTGTTAGTTATCTTGTAAGAAAATTGACACTGCGCTTTGTCTCCCAATGGGGCTGTTGGGCTTAGGTCTCGGGGACGAGTAAATTCGTTGATTTTCTGACACCGTTGTCAATGATTATGGTCTTGTCCAATTTAACCCTTATTGATCTTTGGGAAAGCTGCTATCAACTTCTGACATATATCCTGGATCCCTGCCATGTCCTAGACAACACCGGCCTCTCATGTAGACACGCCACAATCACCCTCCTGAATAGATATTGTACTGCAGCTGAGATAAGAGCTGATGAAACGCCAATGTAGACCATGCATGATATGACTATTACTACCTTTGCATCGAAGATCAATGCTACACATCCATGTTATCTTTTCAGAGGTATAAGTCCATGACGTCGATGGTTTTAGCTTTATATCGTCGTGTGGGTTTAGGCTAAATGGGGATAGGGCTGAGGTTTAATTGCACCTCAGCTCGGATTTGGCTGTATGAGCATACAGCATCTCAGTGGCGATCACTGTGTATGAATCCTCAATTGTCATATATCTTTCAAAACATGTACATGATCTGTAGAGCATGCGCTTAAGTTCTGGTGCTATTCCGAGATATCAGCTAGCCGCTCTTTCTAGGCAAAGTGTTCAGTTGCGAATCATCTGCAGTCGTGAGTTACGTCTGACTAGTCTTATTTGGGAATATGGACCTCTGAGAGTAAGCCAGTAGATTCTTAAAAGCAAGAACTTTAGCAGAGGGATTGTAGAGAAGCAACAGATTCGCTGTTACGAGTCCCAAGATCGTTCCGGTATGGGATTTGCCATGTCATTCACCGGCGCCGGCGTCGACTAAAAAAAGCTTCTCACGAAATACTTAGAAGAGGAAATATTTGGAAATAAAAAGAACAAAAATCAAATATAATCCAAATTCGAGGAGTGATATTGACTGCTGGTCGGTCTGTTCGGACGGCATAAACTCCTCAACGCCTAGGGTGTTTTGAATGCATATTCTCACAAACATAGGTACATAATTCTCTATTACTAAGATTTTCGGACCGCAGAAAAAAGAACCGAACGCCGAATCCCGTAGAAGGGAAGGCGGAAATGTACACCCTGGCACTTTCCTAAAACGGATAGATTTATACTCCCATTCCCTCGAATCCCCGTCGCCACCACCCCAACAACTATTGCGTAAAGGCACGTAGGATAAGTTGCAACCCTTTATCTATAGCAGGTATGCCCTGTTTTTGACCAACTCTAAATACACCCCCTTGCATGCTGTGGGGTCCCCTCCGTTGACTCACTGCAGAAGCGAGCCCGAGGAGATTCCATGGTTTACGGATTAAACGAATTGATTACTGCAGTACGGCCTCCATACAGGGTGACTGAGGGGCGTAACATTGTTGCCTGCCTGGGAATGACTCAAAGGACGAAAGATGGGAAGGGAAGACGGCAGAGTTACTTACTGGTCACGGGACGAAAGAAAGAGAGGAAGGTACGCAGGTGGATGTAAGATATGAGAACGAAGGGGAGACCTCTTTGGGGAAAGACCAGGTGAGAATGGCAAATAAAAGATCGACGTGGATACTTATTGCATAAACCGTTCTGCAATTCTTATTCATCAAGTCATCAGCCAAATCGTAGGACCATACTACATTCATTGACCTGTGTCCAGGCTGCCTTAGGTATCCTTAAGCCCCATATTCTCTATCCGTAAGATCTACATTCTTCGCTAACGCAACAATGTCTCATGAAATTGGCAGTTAAAGAACACAATCAAAATCTTCCTCCGAATTTCCTTGTAAATTCTCTATATCAGCACTTTATACGTAGATGCAAGTTTTTATCCTGCGGGCTGTACTCTGAGGAAGAGGGCGCGCAGAAACTTCAATAGAGCATAAAGTTGTAATATCGAATGTGATGTGATAGTATGCACTACTAGCAAGTGTTGGAAGTCATCCATCCTTTGCAAAGATCTGTATCTGCCACATAGATTAGGGTGAAGGCAATATACAACTTCAAATGACACAATATCCACAGTGAATTGACCTGCTGGAGGGATTAGTAGTGGTCACTAAAGACAAAAGATGGGTGAACGAGGAAAAGAGAAAAGGCGCCCTCCTAAGTCTACGATCTAGTGGTTTGCTAATTCGCAGGCACACTGGTCTTACAAGTGGCTATGAAATATGCACCCTCTACGGGTAAGAACAAATAAGCTGTGGAAAGTGTCCCTTGGGGTATCAATTTCCTACCTGCTGCAGAAACTTAATTGGAAAAAGAAACATGGAAGAACAGAAAGACAGAAAAAATAACAATGAACAATGAATAATGAACAATGAAAATGAACAATGAAAATGAAAGAAAAAGGAGAGAGAACCCCATCCCTGAACTCCGATAGGGGTATACAACACCAGAACACAGAGAGAGAACATGAAAACAGATCACAAAAAGGCATGACTCAAATGTCCTCCCCCTTCCTCTTCCTCTTCCACTTCCACTTCCACTTCCTCCCTCTAATACCCATTCCACTTTTCCAACTCTCCATTCACATTCTTCCTATAAATAGGAGTCTTTTTCCCGTTTCCTAATATTCCATTAGATAGAAATTCTAACCAGAATTGATCAATATTGTTTGGCACTTACGCGGACCTTTGGCGGCCTCGATCCGCAAAACCTGCTCGCCAACATTGCACGCGTTATTTAAACCCAGCGCCATCTGAAGGTCTTGTAACGCCTGTTCCCAAGTTAGAATACATACGTATCTAAAATTATAGAACAAGGGAAAAGGCTCACTGTAAACTGCACGAAGGCAGTCGGGTACTTCTGATAGATATTAACCGTGATAAAGCATCTCCCGATAGGGTCGAAGATTTCTCGCAGCGCCTTCTTCATAGTCTGCTCGTCCATATTTCTTGGCAAGCTATGCAACTTCTGTGTTATTATCTGAACCTTGAACACTAAGGATGGATTATATACTTACTTCCCGACGTGAATCCGGTAAGCGACAGGATAGAAAACCTGCGCATTTCGATCGGTGGGGCCGTGGTCTACCACGGGATTTTGGAATCCAAAGGGTGCAGGATGTCCATGCGGGCGATGAGCGGGTTGGCTGGGTTGAGTGAAATACTGCTCGCCCATATATATTGACAGGCTATGCAACTTCTGTGTTAGTATCTGAATCTTGAACACTAAGGATAGATTAAACACTTACTTCCCAACTTGATTCTGCCAGTCGACAGGATGGAAATCCTGCGTATATTGATCGGGAGGGGCGTAGAACTCCACAGACAATTGGTATCCGAAGGTTGTAAATGGCAGGCTACGCAACTTCTGTGTTAGTATCGGAATCTTGAACACGAAAGATGGATTATATACTTACTTCCCAACGTGATTCTTCCAGTCGACAAGGTAGAAATCCTGCCTATATTGATCGGTAGGGCCGTAGTTCTCTACGGGCATTTGGTATTCTAAAGTAGTAAAATCTCCTTGTGGGTAATGAGCGGATCTACTTTCTTGGGGGGGATCCATGTTAGGAGCTAAGGCCAGGTAATCAGATGCAGGTAGTTCTTGCTCAGATAGTAAAGTTGTGGTGGGCGATGATGGACGATGATCAGAGTGTTGGTGAAGAGAGGATGGATGGAAGAAGGAGAGAGAAATGAGAAGAGAAGAGAGATTACGACAGAGACGGGGACGGTGTGAGTCAAACAGCGCTGATGAATATGGTTTGCATATCTAGTTAACGAAACTCTACGGCCTATGGAGTCACGTTTCTTGAGTACCTGGGAATCATACGGGGGTCATCACATCGGGGCCAGTACCTTCAATGAACGAGAAGAATGGTACTGGCAGGCAAAGCAATGTTACTTGGTACAAGAAATCCCCAACCTTTGGGAATCCGTTGCTCGAGGTACAATGAAGGAGGCGGGGAACTGGTGCCTAGGGGATTCTGGGCCATTGGAAGACAATGTGTTCATTGTGAGCTTTGATAAATCAGAAACGTAATGCAGGACTTCGTCCAGCTGGAAAGGCCAGGGCTTGGAGGCGATTAGTGAAGCTCGAGGGCCGGTGTTGGCATGTGCCGGCCGAATCGTTCCGGTAAACCACCCTCCTTTCTCGCCTAATTTCTTCCAGCTTCCAGAGCAAACTCCCAGAATGTAGGTCCGGTGCATACATCATAGAAGGCATCTTGATCTGGGCTGTGTTTCCAGAATTCTGACAAGTTCGTAGTGAACGATGTCTCCGAGCGAAGAAGTTAGGGCTAGCTTCGTAGCAGTATTATACCGGGGATGTCGCTTTACCAGGAGTGACAGAACATTACCTAGACACCCGGCGAACTCTCTTTTGGAGCGCACAGCAGCATGACTTACGGACGGAATACCGTTCGGCAGCAGGCAGGTAGAATGGGATGGATTGCATGGTTTACATAGCTACAAGGGATGCAACAGACGTCCGACATCTCTGGGACGGAAGGGCCGAGCTCATCTTTCAACTATCCCCTTTATCCTTGAAGAATCGAGAGCAACACTTGAGATGGGGAGTAGAGCCACCGCGGTGACTCTTCCCTTCTCTGTTAGGGCTGGGTAAGTTCACATGGGCGTAGTGGTGGCGCCTTAGGAAGGAACGGGTGCCTGAGGTGTTGGACAGGCCAACACCACTCCCTCCAACTTTCTTCCTCCGCGCCGTCGCTGCACCACTTCCTACTACCTACGGCTCTACTGCTACTCGAACCGAACGTATTTCCTCACTATGTTTTTAATTTTGATCCACCGGCCGTCTGCCACCGCGCCAGATGATGTTGAGGCCGAGATATAGTTCATCCCGCCCAACTCGGAAGGCGGTGACGGCGGCCAGACAACCACGCGACGTCATGCGAAAAGCATCCGAGACTCCAGCGATCTTCGTTCTTCCTCCACCAGGGGGTCTTTTTCTCTCCAGTCGCCCTTCACTCGCCCCCAATCCCTACAACTACTCAGACTACTTTTCACTCACCACATCGAGCATCATGATTCCTACGGCAAGATGTTTGGCCGCCAAACCGGCCGGCTTCATGAAACGCAGCGCGGCGGAGCTAACTCGCCTGTCGAAAATCGGTACGTTCGGACGTAACCAAAATTATGACACTCGTTTTTCTTCTGTCTTTGGATGATAGTGATGTCCACCACTGACTATCTGACTCTCTTGCAGCCTGGAACTCCGAGGCCCTTCACACGCCCACCAAGCCCTACTACCTCATGGACTTCGAAGACGAGTCCGCCGTCGCCGGTTGCAAAACGATGGCCGATCGTGCTGTCGGCGGTTTCAGTACTGCTAGCCTCGATTTCGTTCCCTCCGATCCCGGATCGGACTCTCCGGCGCACGCTCGATTCCACGGAAGCATATCCACGCGGCTTCCCAATAACTGGAGGGTGGAACGAACCGGTCGGTTAAGCCCGCTAGCCGCTGTGCGGGGAAGAATCGTTCGCTGACCATGAGGCACGGGCCTGCAATTGACAGGATACGCTGCCTTTCGCAACAGAGACCGGGGCTTCTGGCTCTTCGGTCGACTGTACTGGGACGTAGACCCGTATTCCTACCTCGCGCTGCGCGTCAAGTCCGACGGCCGCCGGTACACCGTGAACATCCAGACCGACTCGATCGTCGACACCGATATCCACCAGCATCGTCTATACACGCGCCACCACCGCGTCCAGGACCCCTCGATGTACCGAGACTCGCTGCCCCAGGCCCTCGAGGAACCCGAGCTCGCCGACACCATGTACCCCAGCGGTATCCCTGCCTCGCTGTCGGATGTGCCGCCGGAGTCGACCATCATGTCGTCGTCGTCGAGCGCCACGACCTCCGGCTCCACCGGCTGGGAGACGATTCTATTGCCGTTCAACTCCTTTGTCCGCACCAACCACGGCCTTGTGGTCGAGCCGCAGACGTCGATTATTCGTCAGCGCGTGAAGAGCGTGGGCATCGGCCTTACGGACCGTGTGGATGGACCGTATGACCTGCGGATCCACCGGATTTGGGCGACGAACGGCATGAGCAGAGCGGAAATTGACGAGGAGCGACAGATCTGCGGGGCGGAAGCCCTACCCGTCGACGACGGCGTCGAAAGTGCATGGCAGGGCGACACGACGGCCGAGAACCCGGATCAAACGTCGCAGGCGCAGGGACAGAAGGGCAAGGGCTTGCGGGGATTGCGTGACGAGTGGGAGAAATAAATAGATACCATGCTTATTCAGAATGTACCATACCTTATATCTCACGAAAATACCATGTTGAGGTAGTTGTCACAATATATATAATCTGAATTTCTTTTCGTAGTGAATGAGCCCTCGACTAGCGTCGGGGACCATTCATCGATAGTTAAACAATCACTCAGTCTGCAAATACAATCTAATTCCCCCCCGTCAACTTCTCCCACGCCTCCTTGTACTTCTCACTCGTCTTCTGTGCTACCTCGTCGCTCATCCGAACGCCCTCCTTGCCCTTCAGACCCTCGCTCACCAGCCAGTCACGCAAGTACTGCTTGTCGAAGCTCTGCTGGCCCCGCCCAATAGCATACGAATCCTTGGGCCAGAACCGCGACGAATCCGGGGTCAGCACCTCATCCGCCAGCACCACCCCGTTCGTCTCCAGGTCCAATCCAAACTCGAACTTCGTGTCGGCGATGATCACGCCGCGTTCGAGCGCATACGCATGAGCCGTCTTGTACAATTCCACGGCCAAGGAGGCGATGATGGAGGCGTACGGTTCGCCGACAATAGCAACGGCTAATTAACAACAAAAAATCCCGGGGTTATCGAGCCATTTCCCCGAAAAATGAAATAACAGAGAGAAAAGAAGGGGAAAACATACCCTGATCCGGATGAATATTCTCGTCATGATCACCCTGCTCCGCCTTCGTACTGGGGGTATAGATCGGTCCATCGGGGAACGCCTCGCTCTCCTGCAACCCAGCCTTGACGGGGATGCCGTGCACGGTGCCCGATTTCTGGTACTCCTTCCAGGCGGAACCGGTAATGTAGCCGCGAACAATGGCCTCGAGGGGGAGAATCTTCAGCTTGCGAACCTGCATGCTGCGGTTCTGGAGGACGGGGCGCAGCGACTCGGGGACTTGGGGCGGCAGGTCGAGAGTCAGGAAGTGCGTGCGCAGCGAGGGGATGGCGGCCGTGAGCACTCGGAACCAGTGCTGCGTGCAGAGGGTCAGGAGAATGCCTTTGTCGGGGACGCCCTAGATACCAATTGAAAGGGGAATGGGTTAGCTTGGTTGCACTAGTCTCCGTCGGTTTATTTGGAGGGAAGGTACATTTTCCATGATCACATCGTACGCGGAGATGCGATCCGACGCGACAAACAGCAGGGTCTTCTCGTCGACCTCGTACAGGTCGCGGACCTTGCCGCGCGCGATCAGCGGCAGGGCGCCTTGGAGGTCGGTGCTGGTGAGGGCGGTCGACATGATGGGAGGTGGTCAATTGCGTGGGAGAGAGAGAAGCAAAAAGCAAGAAAGAAAGAAGTATGCGAGTCATCGGGAATTCCTTTTCTCGCCGATAATCGATAAGCGTGGCGGGGTATGGATGCCTGAGGCAGCTATGGGGTGGCCGGATGACGTTGCGTGCCCTAGCTCTTATGACTCTCTTTGATATAGCAGTAATCATAATGGAATACACCATTCACTGAGCTTTAGACTTTGCATTATTGAATAACTGGCTGCGTAGTCTTCTTCATATTGTGTTGGTTATTCACAAGCTACGACCTGGTTCTATCTGTATGCACTACCATTTGGGTCTTCTTCACGCAAGTTGCTATTGCCCCAGACTACTGTGCCTGCAGGAACTGGGAAAGCTGGGGAAATACAAGCCAGGAAAAACCTAAAAACGAGCCATAAAGCCTATCTGGTGATTGCTGCCTATTCTTTGAATCCATGGTCGGTGCATTGAGTCAGACCTTAGCGAGCCATAATGACAGACACCGAGTCTTAGGTACATGCCCTTCGACTTCAACCTCGACTTCCATGACACATTTCCTTCCATATCCTTTGCACCATGCCAGGTGTATTCACACACTCAAAACTATCTTCCAGCTATCTCCCCTTCGAAAACATGTATTCTCTCATCGAACTCAGCGACCTCGGCGCCTCTTCTATCCAAGCCAACGACAAGAAAATGGCCAGGCGGGTAGAACTCCCACAGACTCCACCAGCAACGCCGTCTCTGGCCCCGGTGCAGTCACAAGAAGAGACAGTATGCCCGCGAACCGGTCTAAAAGACACTTTTCGCGATGCGAACAATTGGGGAGATAAGAAGGACGGCCTTATGAGTTTTTCTGAGGAAGAGAAGGAGGAGAAGAAGAAGCAAGAGGAGAGTACCGACTCTGAGGATGATGGTTATTTGCACTGCATTGCAGTCCCGTTCAACTCGCCGGTGCAAAGCCCAACAGGTCAGGTCCCCTTCTACAATAAGGGAGGAATGCCTGTTGATGATCAGATAAACGAGGGGCTCATGGCTTGCTATGACCGACATAGCCCAAATTCGCGCTATTCACTGCCCCATCCGGCCATCGACAGTTCCGAAGACGAGACCGAGGGATTTTATCTCATCGGGGAGAAAGAATGCGAAGGAGCAAAGGAGCAGGATTCCTGGTGTGCGGTGGACAGGCCACCCTCAGGTGATGCTGGCTACTACACTAAGCTACGCTTCACCATGCTCCCTTCTTGAATGGCTAGGTGGTGCTTCTGTGAGGGTTTTTTAAGCCAGTTATTGTATATACTCAATTTTGAATCCTTTTGAGCGTGGAGTTGGGAGTTATTCGTTGTATTTCTTGTTATGGGTATACCGGGGACTTGTTCTGAACGCTGGATTCGGCGATTGCATGCTTGTTTTGTAAGGGGAGACAGAGAGAGGGAGGGAAGATAGAAATCAAACTTTGCTCAAACCAGTTCCAAGTGCTCACCATCAATATTGCGCTTGTAACGTTGAACTGACCATAACTAGTAGCCTACGTGGGATAATTCCCCGCCAATATAATAATGAAAGAAACCAAAAACCCTCTTGACTGAACGTGGGCAAGGTCTAACCAATCTCATCATTAACTCTTTCTTCTTCTTCAACAAGATGCCACATTTGATTCGCTCGTGGGAATGCACCTCATGGTGAAATGGCACATTCCTGCTTCATGTCATCTAGCACATAAACATAAATAAGGGCTGATCTCCACCTTTGCGGCCCAGGTTCCTCATTCCGCTATATCGACAACATCTGATGGCCTAACTAGTAACTAGACCGTATGCCAAGGAAGCATGTAGGGTCTTGGAACTCTCACAGTGCTACATTGAGCTAGAGAAGGGGCTTTTTCCATGGCTCGTAGAGAACAGACCTCCTGCTAGTGGTTGTAGTGGGCCACTCCCCATGTTACCGGAAACCCCCGACCAAGGAGACAGTTCCTCTTCATAAAACAATAATTTCTTTTTGAACGTTGCGTCGCGAAGGTTGCATCGCCCCCCAGAATCCACTTTCGTCTCTTCTGCTGCGCTATCTCCATCAACACAGGTCAACTGACACGCTATGGTTGAGAAACGAGATGTCAAGGCTCTCGAGGCAGGAATCTCTGCCGATCACAGTGGGTCTGAAGAGGCATCTTTACAGCAGCATGTTTACCCTCATGGATGGAGGCTCTTCGTGACCACCCTTGGGTAATTCCCTTCTTTTGTCTTACTACTGTAGCTAGTCAGACCTATCTAATGTTCAACCCTGCAAAATCTAGTCTTTTCATCAGTCTTTACTTGGTGAATCTCGAAGTCACGATTGTCAGCACCTCCCTGGTCACGATAACAGATGACCTGGGAGGGTTCAACAAGACCAGTTGGGTAGTCACTGCGTATTTAACCACCTACACCGGTAGGAAATCGCCCCGTTCTTCTGCTGTCCAACGCCTTCTTACGCAGTGTAGGCTTCATTCCCTTCTGGACCAGAATCAGCGACTTGGTCGGACGAAAGAGAACGATCAACGCGGCGTTATTCCTTTTTCTCGGCTTCTCGTTAGCATGTGGGTTGGCTGATACCATTAACCAGCTGTGCGTCTGCTCTCTTCCTGGGAAAGTGATTTTGGAGAAACTGATCAGCCGCGAGCAGAATCATCTTCAGAGCCCTTCAAGGCTTGGGAGGCGCAGGCGTCTACCCGCTCAGCATCCTGTGCACCTACGAAGTTGCCCCTAGAGAGAAGATACCGATCTATGGCGGTCTCATGTCAGTCGCGGTGGCACTGGCCTCTCTGTCGGGGCCTATAATCGGAGGAGTCCTCGCCGACCATTCTTTGTGGCGATGGGTCTTCTATCTCAAGTGAGTCTTACACGACATACACCGCGCCATGTTTACTAATGTTCCAATCTCAGTCTACCCCCTACCGCATTGGCAATCTTGATCATTGCCATCGCGATGCCCACCAACTTCGGCACGACGCCCCCAGGATCCCTGCGCCAGCTCATACCCAACATGACCTTCTTCCGACGCATCGACGCCCCCGGTGTCTTTCTCCTCCTCGCCGCATCTTTCCTCCTCGTCACCGTTCTCAACGAAACCTTTGTTGCCTTCGAATGGAACTCCAAAATCTCTATCATCCTCCTATCCCTCTCCGGTGCGTCATGGATTACATTCTTCATCTGGGAATGGCTCATCATCGACAAATGGGATGGATACTACCCCATCTTCCCAAAACGCTTTCTCTACAATCGAGCCTGGATCGGAGTGTTGGTGTAAGTCCATCGCATCCTCTCTCTCTCCCTCTCTCTCTCCCTCCGCCATCCTATCCATCAACATCTCTAACCCCCAAGCAAAACCCCAGAACAACCTTCGTCAGCGCCTGCCCCTGGAACGTAATCATCGTCTTCCTCTCTCAACGCTTCATCGTGCTCTCCCAACTCTCCCCCCTCCAAGCCGGCATCCACCTAATTCCCTACTCCGCCGTCTCGACCGTCGCCACCGCCATCGCCAACCTCGCCTGCCTAAGAGGCCGCATTGCATTCATCTACATCGTCCTGTTCGGCTCCATCCTCCACACCGTCGGTATGGCCCTCCTCTCCACCATCCCCGCGACCATAGGGTCGGGATCCTTTCCTATCGAAGGGTACGGGTACGAAGCGATCGCAGGCGCCGGGGTGGGCATCACAATCGGGAACTTACTTCTCGCTGTACCGTATATTGTGGACGCTGCTGACCTCTGTACGTTCTCCCTCCTCCTCCTCCTCCTCCTCCTCCTCCTCCTCCTCCTTCTCTAACCCTAACCCTAAGTCCACTCTCCCATCCCATCTCACCCCATCCCATCCCATCCTTAACGCCGCTAACCCAACAACACCTACAACAAACAGCAACCGCAACCGGCGCCCTCAATCAATGCCGTTTCCTCGGCGGCGCAGTAGGCCTCTCCATCGCCTCAAACCTCCTCAACGGCCGTCTCAAGAATCGTCTCTCGGAGGTCCTTCCTCCCGAAAAGCTCGGCTTGTTACTTCACAGCGCGAGCTCGATCGCCTATCTACCCGAACAAATCCGCGACTTTGTCTTAGACGTGTTTGCGGGAAGTTATCGGCTTCAGATGCAGGTTATGATTGGGTTTGCGGGGGTGCAGGTTCTGGCTTGTTTGTTGATGATTAGGAGGAGAGGACAGTATGTTGCGAGTGCGAGTGGGGGTTAGCTTAGAGTAGCTTTATCTTTAGCTTAGGGGGTTGGACGGGTTGGAGGTGTAGGTGGATCATGGGTGTAAAAAAGTGTTCCTTGGGTTTTGGGGTGGGTTTTTTTTCTGGATATAAGCATGCCTTGAATGGTACATTTTTCCTGCGATTGAGCAGTTGAAAAAATCTACAACAGTCCAGAAAAGTATGGCTACTCTATTATTAGCAGACTCATACTGAAAAAATAAATTGTTGTGTCCGATTCAATCTCATAACCCATTTAACTCTTAACAACAAACACCTGTACAGAGTACAAAAGACCAAAATGAGAAACAGACGTACTCCGAAAATCTAACAAACAACGAAGGTCAAAATCAAAGCTTGAAACCAAAAGCAAATAATCTAAATTCCCTCAAAGTCACGGCAGAATTCCCTTCACCCTCTCCTCTACACCGCGCAACATATCCCCCTTCTCTTGGCTGGAGTCCACTCGAATGACATCGCCTTCTGACATATCAGGTTCCTCCAACAGATTTAGCTGCGAGTCGACCATTGCCGAAGCCATGTAGTGGCCTTCGCCCTCGGAGCGGGCAACCAGCCGGTCTTCCAACTTCTCCTTGTTCTGGATATCCAGGAGCAAGAAGGTGACTCCGACCGGGAAGTCGAACAACTCGGAGAGTCGGCGGAGATGGTCACGATACACGATACGAAGAGCGGAGCATGTAACGGCTAGGCCAGGGAGGTCGCGATGCTGTTGCAACCGATCCATCACGGCTCCTCGGATGTGTGCCAGCCACTCCCATCGGTCCTCGTCGGTCAAAGGGATCTTGTTGCCCATCTTATTTCGCGCAATAGGGGAATGCATGTCATCTCCTTCGATTATGGGGAGATTGAGTCGTTCGGTTAAAGCGTGCGCTGCGGTGCTCTTGCCACAGCCACATGGGCCAATCAGGAAGATGATCTCGCGAGTCTTGAGTGTTGCGCTCGATAAACTACTTGCGGGTTGACTCCAGCATTCCTGCTGGAAATACTGAACAAATCGACTGACGAGGTCCTGCGTGAGCCCGCCTGCCTGACGAAGAGCGGGCGCGGCAGACTGTGCCAGGTGGGTATCATACAACAAGGGAGGCTTCGAGTGATCAGTTCCGTACTTGCTTGCGAAAAAAGGGAATAGTTTGATAGGCGGGTTCGCAGCTGGATCCTGGTTAGAATTGCGCAGCCGATGCAACCATTCTCGTCGTTCTACCACTTCAAACTGTAGGCCTGCTTGCTTGAGGAGTGGAAGGAGGTCGTATGTCCAGTGATTCAGTATAGGGTTTGTCACGTTGAACACATCCACAGCATCTTGTGTGAGAGTCAAGTCAATCACACTGCTCGCGATCGTATCTACCGGCGTCCACGAGAGAATGTCGTCCAGTCGAGGCAGCGCGCCGATCGTCTTCGCAGTCTGCATTATCATAGGAATCGCCTCCGAGTCATTCCAGATGCCATGGACCGTATCACCAATGATCTGGCCCACGCGCAGTACGCGCGCAGACATGCCCCGTTCCCGAGCCGCGTAGTTCACAATATGCTCCGTCACCAGTTTCGACTGCGCATAGCCCATACCCTGAGCGTAGCTCAGAGACTCGGGCAATGCCTCGGGCACCCAGCCCCCAGGACTGCGTGCGACGGTGCTCACGGATGAGCAGAACGAAAAGCGGGCCGGCTCCGGGGCTTGGACGTTCAGACAGAAATCGAGCAGATTGCGGGTGCCCACGATGCAGCTCTGTTCGAAGCTTTCCAGCGACCAGCTAAAGTTGACCGACCAGGCACAGTGAATCACGGCCGTGGCGCACTCGGTGAGCTCATGGTACGTCGTGGTATCTAGTCCCAGCTTGCTGTCGGACAGTTCGGAGGGCAGAGCGACAATCTTCCGTTGAGTGCCAGATTTCAAATCTGCAAGAACCGCACGCTCGCGGAGGGATTGAAGGACTCGACGATGGGCTGCGTGTCTGGTCTTCGCTCGAACTAAACAATAGATACGACGAACGTTGTCAGATCGAGCCAGCTGGGAGACAACATGCGCGCCGAGAGAACCGGTGGCACCGGTCACGACGACATGCTCGCCGTCGTAAGCACGGGGAACCGATACGTGCGCTGGGATGGACTCGGTGTACTTCTTGATCAACTGGTTCATTCGATCCTCGACAGGAACTTCTTCCTTGGCGTCGCCCGTGATCAAGCGGGTCAGCTCATCAGCCATCGCCTGCAACGACGGGTTCTCGAAGACAAAATTCTGCGAGATCTTCTGTCCCTTCAGATCCAGAGTCTGAAGAATAACGCTTCGCAGGCGGATTGATTGCAGACTGTCGACTCCGAGACCGAATATATCAGTAGTGTTTCCTAGGCTGGAAGGCTCGATAGACGGCGCAATCTGCAGCAGTTGCTCTCGCAGAAAGTCAAGCAACTCGTCTCCCTCGAGAACCTGATCGCCATGCGCATCCTCAGCATCGTAGATTTGGTTGATCTGCTCCTGGTAGTCCCGATAGAACGCCGATCGAATGACCGTGCCTTTGTCCGTTTTGCGATACTCAGCGTCTGCAGGGAGGACGCGGATCATGTCGCGAGAAATGTAAGCATACGCCGGCGACTCCGCATTGCATTGCTCTATCGCCGGGAATGCCGCGTCAATCAGCTCCTCGTCTGTTATACAGTTGCTATTCTCTGCATGGACCAAGAACAACCCCAGACGCGGCTTGTTAGCCCCGAAGGCGATCGCCTCGGCCACGTTAGGGTTATTCCGGGCCACGCCTTCGATGACGAGTGGGTTCGTCTTCTCGCCGTTTTCAAGCACCAATGTGTCGTCGAGCCGAGCATAATACCGCCATGCGTTATCCTTGGACGGGTGTTTCTCGAACAGATCCTTTGTTGCGTACGAGCCGTCGGGCCGATTGCTGGCAACCTTGGACGGCCAGCCTTCCAAGACAGAGAGTTCGTAGATGCCCGGCATCTGTTCCTCCCAGCGAAGATAAGGTAATAGCGAAGGCCCGGGGCGTACGTAGTCCCAGTCCAGGTCCGAGCGATCGCGGAAGGAGGTCATCAGTTGGCCGGTTTCGGTGGTGCCGTAGTGCGATACCAGACGCACGCCGTTCTGTACCAGCTTGTCTCCAATGGGTTTGGGGCAGGAGGATCCACCAAACATGAGCAGGTCCAGACGCGCCATCATCTTCAGTCCCTCATCCGTCTCTGATAAGAGCTTGAGCGCGTACGGAACAGCATAGAGGACCTCTATCTCGGGGTGCTCGTGCAGCGTAGTGAGCAAGCAGGGTGCCGTGAGGGGCAGATTTGCGTTGTACATGTAGATCAGCTTCTGGGAATGCACGGCTCGGAACAGACAGCTGATGCCGTGGGCATGAAAGAGTGGCAAAGTGATGAAGCCACGCAGACCGAAATTGTTGGCATAATTGCGGAGGGCGCCAGAATGCGTCTGGTAGATGGGTTTAGGATGGCCCGTCGATCCACTCGAATGAATCACCCAGCAAACATGCTTCGCCTCCGTCTGACCATCCAGCTGAGCGGCCGGTAAATCCACAGTCACCGGCAAGTCGTAGTCCTCGCGGTCTAGCACCGATAGCTGATTGACACCGGTCCGCTTGGCGACATTCTCGCCCATTTTCCGGAAATTGGCATGCGTCACCAGGAACGTCGTCTTGGTGTTCTCCACCAAGCTCACGTAGGCGTCTTCGGCGATTCTCGTCGACAGGAGCAGAACCGTATGGCCCAGACGCGAGACAGCCAGCAGAGTAACCAAGTACTCAAAGTCCGACGGACCCAGCAATCCCACCACCTGCACAGCGCCTTGCGATGACCGTCGTTGAGGAATCACCTTCGAATAATGAACAGCGGCCGCCTCAACAAACGTATGTAACTGCATCCCATCAGCCCCGAACTCCATCATCATCATCCCTTCCCATTCATCCAACCTCCATAGAAATAACCTACCTGACGAGGCGTATAGTACGCATACTCCATCCCCGCAGAGGGATAAGCCACGATCGGTTCATCCGCCTTCTCCCCAACAGCTCTCGCCCTTAACAACCCATCAATCGTGTAAACCACCTGCTCCGGACTCTCACTCTGCTGAACAGGAAGAACTCTCGAGGCCGCCAACAGCGCCGGAACCGGCGACGGCGTGACCGACTGTATCTGCACCGAAGTCATATTGACTTTGTCGTTGATGAAGCCCATCCGGAACCAGCACGTCGTTGCAAGTCATTCTTATGTGCGTCCGTTCATTTCCCGATTTGCCAGACTATAACCGCACCCCCTGGGCCGCCTGAGCCGGGGATTCCGCTCATTTCCCCGCCATCGCTCCTGTGCCTTATGCTTGTGACGGCATAGTGGGTTTGTTAGTTTCTCTGGAGGCGGGCGGATTCTTCGACGGAGAGAAAATGCGAGACGTGGGGATTTCCGCTGTACGGGGGCGGATATCTACACTATGCCGCATCGGGGAGAGTGGGTCATGGGATTTTCTCCGGCTTCTCTCGGGTTTTTCTGCGCAGCAACAAGAAAGTGGCACAAAGGATCAAGCATGAGGAATACATTCGTGTATTGGTTTAGTGGTTCAATGTGAATTGAGGTGCTTTGGTCTTCGTGGAATCTATTCCCAGAATATCTAAGTAGATTAGTTCGCTTCTACGCTTAGAGCCTAAGATATATAATTCGGCGATTGCTGGACTAAGAAAAATTTTACCACATCACCACCAAGGGAAAAAATGATTCATGCTTCATGCTTCATGCTAAATATGCTATTCAAGTCCCCTCGGGAGATAAAACGCCAGTTATATATACATCAACCCAACCAGCCATAGAAGACCCCGGTCACCTCAAGCACTGAGCAAGGTAAAGTATCATTCATGGATAAATAGATAGATAAGGAGACACCCGCCAATAAGCCATAACCACGGTCGCAATGCATACAGTACGAGACCATCAGATGAAAATAAAGATGCAAGATGACAGAGATAGGACATGGTATGAGTTCATATTCTGCAATGCTGTGCATGTCATAAGAACGAAAAAAGAAATATCAATCAAAATTCACGAATATGTGCAATGAGTATGGTATCAGGCGCCTGGCATAATGATGGAACAGAAGGAAAAAGAAAGATCGACAAGTATGGAGAAAAAGGATGGTATATTTAGTCGGGGAGGTGGTGGTGTTAAGCTCGCACGCGGCGAGCGTCAAAGTATTTCAGGTTCACGGCGGTGTCATTGACCCCCACGATCGGGGCGGCATCCTCGAGCAATTCCCACGGTCGAACTGGATAGGGCCCCATGGTTCGGCCCCGGTACTGCAGGCGGAGTTGGCTGGCAACGCAGTTGACTCCCTCCGGGACGCCGGTAGACATCCCCGTAGGGACAGGCGTGGGTGGCTGCGGCGCGGGCGGTCCGCCGGCCAGGGACCCGGACGGGGTTGGTGTAGGCGTCGACCCACCGCCAGCAGGCGAGGGAAGGGAGGCAGGTTGCGTGGCATTCAATGTGGTGGTGGCATCGCTCGTGGGACCGAGGAGGTAGATGAACCGCAAGTCGTTTTGATATTGGATGAATGGAGGGCATTTTTCTTTGAGAAACCGGGCACACTGCTGGCGGGACTCGTCGGGGAAGGCGTCGATGAGAGACGCGGCAACGTCTAGTGCGTGGGTTTGGAGCAGGATCCCGGGGCATGGTCGAAATCCCTCGGATGGCACGCGGTGAGGGAAATAGTCCGCGGATGGAAGCAGGCGCAGCACGTTGTCCGGGAGGCGCGCGAGGGAGACGCAGAAGATTGAGATCAATAACCGAGTCTGCTCTTGAGCGCCGTGGGGCTTGGGCGCTAAGGAAGATCCGCTACTGAATGCTGCTCGGTGCATAACAACCATCCGAAGCAGAGAGGAGAACCAGAAAGCCAGCGCTCTCTCGAAAGTCAGGCGGGCTTGAACCAAGTGTGCGGCGGCGGCGCCACGGCTGTTGACGGTTAAACTGTTAAAGTTGGTTTGCACGGTGACAAGCCGGTGGAGAAGCGCATCCATTTTGTCCACGATCACAGGGACCACAGACGGGACACCGGTCTCAGGGATGCTATACGCCAGCTTCTCGACAATCCCGAGATATAGCTTGGCGGTCTCCATGGAACTGTTCTTGTCCTTAGAAGCGTCCTGATCCGGGGGGTCCTCGAACATGGGAACGGAAAGGAACTCCTTCTCGGCTCGTTCGCGGATCTGACGAACTGCATCCTGGCTCATTAAACCCACAAGCCCAACCCAGTTACTGCCTTTGGAACGCGACTCTTTCACTGCAGCATTAAACATCACATCGACAATACCATTCTTGGCGGCTTCCTCAGACTCGGCGTTGAACAACATCTGGAGTTTCAGCTGACAGAATGGAAGCGAGAAGTCATCGGTTATGAGGATGATCTGTTCAGCCTCCGGGATGTCTGGAGAGCTACGGAGGGAGTCCGTTTCTAGGAGATGATCGGTGGCCTTCTGTAGCACAGCAGTCGACATGGTTTGTTGCCCAAGGAACTTTTGCAGACAGTATTGCACCACAACTGGAGGGTCCTGGGTAAGCATGACCTGGAGCAAATTGATGGCGCATTTCTCGAGGTGATCACGTCTGGGATCAGGTCCAGTTTCCTGGCCCCGCTTCTCGATCAAAGCAACGGCATCACGGATCACCTCGAGAGTCTCCTGCGGGTGCTTCAGGAGGAATTCCTGCTGTGCAAGATAAAAACGATATGTAACCAGATCAAAGCACCGCCCCTGTTCGGGCTGGGGAGGAACGAGGAGGTCGAGAAGATCCATGCGCAAATCCGACAAATTCGGAACCACCGAGGTCACTCTCTCGGACTGCATGAGTCTTTTGACTAGGAGCAAAAACGCGTGGATAGTGACACATCCTACCCCTATGAGGGGGGGTAATATGCGAGACGTGATGCCGGGCGCGGACGATTTGAACAGGCCGCATATCCAGCGAACCAGCATAGAATCGAAATGCTTGGGGTGGAAAGGCCGCAGGTATGCCAAATACCTACAGGTCTCGTTGGCAGACATCTTCACCTCCCCAGTGTTACATGTCAAGGTCTTGGTGAGGGAGTTGAAAACCGTGTCCATGGTGGACTCATCCATGCCGCTGCCCGATGACAGGATTTGATCTAGCTTCCCTTGGAAAGACCGATCGCCTTCGCTGAAACTGGGCGGGATGCTATCGGACAGTGGAGACGGGGCTGCCAAAGCCGACCTGTTCTCAATACGCGTCAGATCTTGCCGGAGAAGGGCAACGGTGTTGAACTCGTTGGGTAGCCGGAGGCCAAGCTCGATGAGTGAGAATACCAAGTCCAGACTGGGGGTGCCTAGTCTCTTAATACGAGCATACGATTCAACAAGTCCCCGGAAGAGATCAGTTGTGGCACCAATAACACAGAAAGAGTCAAAATGACAATTGATGGTGTCAGCAACAGATGCCAGAACAATATTGTCATCGCAGTTTGTAGCTTGCTTGAGAACATCGGCAAGTATAGACAGATCCCCAAAACTCTCCAAGATATGCCGCACGCTGTAGAACTCCACAGGGGTGAGGGCAGAAACACTGGACCCCGAGAGGAAGGAATGGCTGCTGGATTTTCTGCCACTGGTAAGCGATCGTCTTCTGGTAAGATGTCCGGGAGTAGTAAGCATACCTATGCGAGTCACGATAGTGCACAGAGACCCCGCGCCGAATCCACTGGCCGATTTCAGATTTGACAGCCCACGTCAGGTCCGGTAACTGGGGTTCACTCGGTATCACGCTGCTCATCTCGGCGCCAAAGATTTTCGGCAGCCGCTGAGCCACGGAGGCCTTGAGCTCCTCGATGGTAGACTCCTCCTCCGCGGCCGAAATACCGGCACGGTAGAGAAGTGTGTTCCGAAGGTTGCGCACATGTTCCGGGAGTCGAGCCGTGGGCAGCTGTTTCAAGAGGCCGAGATCGTTCGGAATGGCCTTTCAATTTACGTTAGTCGCCATCAGAGAAACAACAGTTCAGCTCGGTATGGTTTACCTTTTCTGCATCGGGATGGGAATCGCTCGAGACGCCCCTAGCCATCAACCACTGTAAATATCTACCAACGGAAAATGTCTGAGACCGCACAAGCTCTGAAATGATATGATATATATTCTCCATGTTCAGGGCGGAGGTCGCTTTGGTCCCCGCGAGAAACGAAAGAATGTACGAGTCGATATCAACTCCAGACATTTTCCACTTCCGCAAAAGACGAACACTGGTATATACACGGCAAAGGCCGTAACGGAACGGGGTAGCAGTCCATTCCAGAAGTTTGCCAATTAGAACGGATTTATCTTCGATGATCTTGAGACATTCGCTCGAGGTCGACGAGATCTCGTGGGTGGAACGGATAGAGTCGAAGAGGTGAATCACGCGTTGTTGTGGCGATTGTTGGGCCGTTTCTTGCTGACACTTAGGAGCCTGCACCCTTGCATTCCGTTCTGCGAGATTTTGAAAGACTGTTCTATGCACGTTGTCTTTCATATTTAAACATGATGAGATGATATCTTTGTACTTCTCCCATGATTTCGGAAGTATGACGGATGATGTATGTTCAAGCACAAGCCTGCGAATATAGAGAGACAAGCGGTCGACCAGCGGCCGGAGAGGTACGACTTGCTCCGGTTTGGATATCTACCGCAACGTCAGTACGTGATCATTCTGAGAGAAAATGAAAGCACCAGTCAAAAACACTTACACGTTGGAGCTTCGCAAGCAAAACTTCCGCGAGTCGTCGGCCACGCTTACGGTATCGCATGATGTTATCCCAGTAAACACCAAGCATTAGGAGCCAAACAGGGACGGTGTTGGATGAAGATGTTTCCAGAGAGGTGAGAAACCATCCAAGATACTGGTCGTGGTCAAGAAGCCGCTCGAAGAATAGACGGGCAGTGAGACTGACTCTGCAGGGATAGTAGGATTAGAGACGTCACCTCATTCATGCGGTACAAGGGACACATACGCATAGGTCATCTTCATCTTCCAATCGGAGGACCCGCAGACACTAATCACACCTTCCAGGAATTGCTGCACAGTTGCAGTCCAGTCGCGAACCCACTTGGCCTCCAACCCGACAGCCAGGGCCCCACTGGTGCCCTTTCTTTTGAACGCGCGGATCTCGTTGGCTCCGACACATTTG